AAGCGCTTTGGGACGTCCTCCCGACGTGAAAAGCGCTATATCAAATGCAAGGATTATTATCATTATTATTAATAACGGGCACTATTAATTTTCTGACTGCCTTTTGTGTATATTGCAAATGGTACAGTAATGGGCGTTGAAAGCAATAAGGTGACGTTGAGGTTGATCCAAATTTGGTGGCTAACTACGACGGTTAAAAGTACTTTTCCTATATCTTACGTAAGATCTTTGAACCTGTTGCGAAACGTGATGAATGTAATGCAATGTTGCTACATGCGATGAATGTGTTGCCAGAGTGAAGGAAGCTGCTGTGTTATCGGGTCTGAACAAGTTTTCCTTTGGACCCACCACAAATTTCTAACATCTTCATTTCATTTCTATAGGAAACGGTGAATTATTCCGCATCATAAAATTACAGTCGCGCGCAAAGCAGGCAGCTACCACGCCTCACAGTAAATTCTGTTTATCTCTTTGAATCAGCCTCTGGACATGAAAAGCTATCCTATGGAAGGATTATTTTATTAGCACAGTTTTAATTGCAAAAAAGCAGTTAATCTTTCAAAAATCAGCCTCCAGAAATAAAAAAAACGCTTCCATTTTTATTCTAGGTTTTAGTTTTCCCTCATTGATTTGGGAGGCTGTTTATCTTTTATAGGTACGTCTATCTATAATTCCGTTTTAGTGAAAGACAAAACCGAAGACAAGGTTCAGACTTATCTTGTGCTCTGTTTAAAAGCCTTTGGCTTTGACTTTTTCGTGATCTCCAGGTTTACAGAGCTGCCGATTTCACTAACACAAAAAGAGTGTTGACGTGATGCCCGGAGTTAGCTTTGTTGTTAGCAGTAGTGATGTTCTGGATTTCGTCTGATGTGCGATTTAAAAATGCAATGGCGACGGGCAAAACTGCAATGTTTTACATAAATGATGGCAATAAAATCAACCTACTTCATCGCACATCCTCTTTTGAAATAACCCCTGCAAAGGTACTGCACATTGCGATGCTCTGAGCATCACAAATGAAGCACTTTGAGACATCTCAAAGACGTGATTAGGTGCTTTATCAAATGCAAGTATTATTATTAATACTCTTCTGTCTCCCCGTTCACCAAGGCCATAGCTCCAAGTCTGAAACCTCTCTGCATTGCTTTATGTCTTTCATTGCTGTGCTCGACACTAACTGCAGCATTTGGAGATGTCTGGATTGATGGTTGCTTTGAGTCCAAGTATAGTTGGTTAACAATCTGCGATCAGTCTAAAGGGTCCGTATTTGATTTGTATGCAAACACCTTTTTGGTTAATGCAACATCCTTCTTTGTAATGGAAGTCGCAGTTTTTCCTTATTGTTTAACCTTCATATATTGACCAATTCCTTTCATCCAGATCAACACTGCCGCCTTTGTGCTAACTTTCAGCTCTGCATTATTCTCTCTTGAGTTAAAGAGACATTAGTCTGGAGTAGAGAGTAATTCCTTTCAAATGAATGGGAAGCAGAGAGTGGGTGAAATAGGCATACCAGTGAGTGTGACACATGACCGCTGGACTGAGGAAACAACATGCTACCTGTTAGCACAAGTTGATCTGCTTTTTTCCCCTGAAATTTGAGGTGTTCTGTTCAGCGAGCAGGTTCTCGCGTAGTGACTTTGGTTATTATCTTGGCCTCCGAACAGCCATCTGGTTTGTATCAGCGTGACAGCCCCAGCTCATTCTCCCTTTCAGCCTCACTGTTAAATTATAAATAGCTGTTCTTAAGAATGTCTCGCAGGTTCCTACTAAAGCGATTCATTTCCTGCAATCATTCTCCTGCCACTGTACTGCATCTCAGCAGTAGATACATCATCACGAATCGCAGGCCGTTAACACCATAGGATCCACTCGCCTGGGCAGGTCAGGACACCCACATTGACGTGCATTTAATCCCCGATGAAATGTAGCATTTGTCTGCAGATATCCTTGCTTGGATCGGTTTAAACGAGAAAATGATTCGGACCATGTTCTTCATTGATGTTCGGACCAGGTTGTCTGTGTAATGGGAGTGAACGTGGAGTGGGAGCAAATAGGATACTTGGTTTTAAACCTAACTGAAGGAAATTGATTGCTTTCCAGTTACCATCCAGACATTTTGACATATGGGGTTATGGAAATGGATGTTCATTCTTCTATCTTCCCAGACTCCCAGCTTTCTTCCTCCTGCTTTTGACATGATAACAGCAACAACAACTTATATTATTACAAGTGTGGAATAGGATTTTGTGTCCACTACTACTGATGGTAGACAGCGTTTTGGTTTGTTTACTTTCTGTATTGGAAAGTAACCCAGTGATGAAATGGTGATAAAATGTGCCAACCTTATCATTCTCCTGTTTCATCGAATTTGCTACCCTGGAACTTCCTGAGAGTTCCTGGTGTGGGGCAAACAAATTGTGACAAGCCTGTTTCTCTCTAAATGATAGTGTGTGTGTGTGTGTGTGTGTGCGTGGGGGGTGGGGGAGAAGGTTTCCTGGGTATACTGGCTTGAAGGATGGATTATTGCCAGATCCCTCAGTCATTCTGTCCAGTTGTACTTTGGCCCACTCCACTAGGCTTTGGAGGTGTTGCCACAATGGTATCCTTCATTGAATCGGATCTATGGCTCTCCAGGATATTACTGGGAGCACGAGTGTACAGAGCAAATCCTTCCCCCTTTTCTTCCCTTTCTCGGACAAACAATTCCTTCTAGGGAAGCAGCATTCCCCTTTTGAAGATTCTGTAAGGTACTCGGATGATTAAACGCGCACAATTCGAATACCACCAAGATATTCAGTTACAGGCATGGGGTGCCAGCCAAATCTTTATTTAGACACCTACATGCTTTTAAAAGAGTTCTCCCTAGGGGGGAGGAGAGGAAAACCCGTTAAGTGGAGAAGGGCATAGCATGCTTCCTATGTGGGCTACAGTATAGAGAATAGTTTACCTAGCAGCAAGTAGGAACCCAGTTGTTAGTCGATTGGTGGATCATGTTTCTGGGGGTATAAATTCCTTCAAAAAAAATTGGTCAGTCAATCCACGACTGTTTGTGGGACATTGCTGTCGCGTTTCACTCACAAAATATACAGTCCATTCACTTTACAGTGTATTAGAGTGTATTCTGTGAAGCCCTTTGAGACGTCTCGAAGACGTGATAAGGCGCTATCAAATGCCAGGATTATTATTATTTTTATTATAGACTTTGAAACTCCAGGAACCTTTACAAAATGTACATTTGTGGGACTTCGCTGGGTGCATCTACAAAATACACAGTCGCTACAAGTTACAGTAAATGCTGCAAAGTGCTCTCAAAATTTTGACATGCTCTCGACCACTGTAAATGTAGGGATTTTTCTTCTCACGTGATTGATTTCCACGGAGATGTATCTGGATCTCGTTTGCTAGCGCAATCCGGAGGCCTGACATTCCACTTAGTCTTAGGCTGTAAGATCATTTTCAAAAATTCAGCATGATCTCAAAGCTGAAGACAAAATGCTCTTACAGGTTATGACCGATGGTGCAAGGTCCCTTGCAGAAACCTTGAGGAAAGCAAGCGTGTATAATAGGCACAGATGTGCGTGTTCATTGAATTGGAGCTCGTTTGCTGTAGCGGTTCCTGTAGCATTCTCACAGTGCTTCCAACTAAAGCTTTGACAAGTGTGTCACTGGGCCTCGGTTTGAGGCAACGCTGGGTTTCAATCAGAAGCACCTAAAGCACTTGGCAGTGCAACAGATTATAGACCCCAGTGAACCAAAGGCAAAATACTGCAGATGCCGGAAATCTGAAATAAAAATGAGAAGTCGCTGGGAACACTCAGCAGGTCAGGCGGCATCGATGGAGAGGGGAAAGTGAGTTAACACTTCAGGTTGATGACCTTTCGCCAGAACCAGTAGAGTTTAATCATCCGAGTACCTTGCAGAAAAATTCATAGAAACCAGTGAATTGGGTTTGCTGCTAGTTTTTAAATTAGATTTTTGAAGAGAAATGATGTTTTCTAAGAAGTTGGCATAGAACCAGATCCAGTGTTTTGAGTTAACAATCTGCAGTGAATACATGATATGGGAATGGTTGTTGTTTACTGAAAATCCATCTCTTGTGACTTGAACCCTTGTAACCCACCCACCCCCCCGGAAGTTATTCCGTTTGTGGTCACTTGGTTTAGTTTTAGCTTCAAGTATGCAACCAGGAAAAGGTTGCATTGAGGATGAATGTCTTTTACTTGCTGGCGAATACTCTTTGAGAGGCCCAGTACTGTGGGAATGATATTCTCTCTGGAATATCAACTTTATTACTATAAACGACTGTAAAAAGGAAGGAACAATATAAAAAATTCATTTAAACTTGATGGGTTGAATGGGCTAATTATGCTATAATTTCTATGAAGGCATTGAGACATATTGGAGCCTCCAATGCACTGCAAGAGACTGACTGCTGGTTAGTGGGTTCTTGGCCTTGTGGCCTTGCATGGGGCTTCCTGACTTGAGCGATGATAATAATGATAATAATCCTTGCATTTGATATAATGTCTTATCACGCCATTGAGAATGTCTCACAAAGCGCTTCACGGAATATACTGTAAAGATTATATCGGTGGTGGTGGGAGGTTGGTGGAGGGGGCGAGTGAGAGACAAGAAAATCTTACATTTTACAAATGCCACCCCTTGTAGCAACGACAGGATACTAGCCCACAGAGCTCTTGACACCTTGACATGGTGACATGCTGTGCATGTGCAACCAAGCTATTGGGATGCAATATATCGAAGCGATTCTCTTCTTTGCTACACAGGGAAATGAGACCACCTTCGAACGCTCTCCAGAGCCACATGAACAGAGGCCAGCCGACTGACGACAGGGTTGCTGTTATCCATCTTCGGTCTGGTGGTGGGGCGGGGAGGAAAGAGAAGTGTGAAGACAAGAGGATACGAAGCCGATCTAATATTGAATGCGGTTTTGCCTGAAGTAATGCTTATTAATTCCCGTTTGTTTTGTGACTCAGATCTCTCATCCGCTAAGAGGAAGTTTGCGGAATCGCTGAATGAATTCAAGTTTCAGTGCATTGGAGACACGGAGACAGACGACGAGATCTGTATAGGTGAGCGCCAAGGACCTCCTTCTGCGCCCTTCAAAAGAGCACCACATCATTTCCCACCCATAACCTCACATACTTCCGGTTTGCGTGCTGGCCAGCTTTCTGTGTGTGCGTGCGTGTGTGTGTGCGTGTGTGTGCACACACATGTGCGTACACACATGTGCGTGTGTATACCTGGTGAATGTGGATTATGCCCCATCATAACACTGATTAGGAGTTTACTGACCCCCCCCCCCAACTCACTCCCCACTTCTGTACTAATATAAATTGGACTCTGCTGTACTCCTGATTATATTTGTTTTAACCAGCATCACAAAACGATTCCTTGATCGATCCACGCTTGTGTTTCCGCCCAGCTAAATGAGAGCTCGCTAGGTTCTCCACCACTCTTCCACACTAACGCTTAGACAATGTATCTGTTAACTGCGCTAAGGAGTGGCCCTCGCTCTGTAGTGCTCAGCATTGAGAACAATGTAACACAGCTTTTATTAACCAGGTCAGCCAACTCTTCAGATCTTACTTGCGTCCAAGTGTCCTTACCGTTTGTCCACTTTATTTCTCGGCCCTGTGCTTCTGATCGTTCCTCCCTCCACCCCTCTCCCCCCCTCCTCTCCGACAGACTGATTCAGTGAGGACACTTGGGATATTCTTTAATCATCCTTGGTCCCGGATTCCAACTCGTGTTGTTCTTATGACTGTGTCGCCATTGTGTCCTGCTTGTCAGTTTTGCGTGTGAATTTTTTTTGGTGGGGGGCGGAGGGGGTGGGATTGGCGGAGCAGCCAGGTGTCTGACACATGCGGAAACCCATCACCGCGCTTAAGAGTATCCAAACCGAACTGAGAACTCCATGCATCCCACCTACACATGGAAGTCCCAGAGATATAGTGTTGGAATGGAATGCGCACTCCCTCTCCCTGGAGGGACGCATTCTGTTTACCTAATTCCAGAAAGTATTAAGCACAGGTTGGTAAGAACCAAGGCTTGGGGGAAGCCCAGAGTGTGCGTTAGGGTAACTGATGGAGTCTAACCAGCTAAAACCACATAGTTTGCTATTGATAATGCTGTCCGGCAAGCTTTCCTACTGCTTGTTAAGCTAGGATCACCCTACCCATCAGGGCTTTGGCTTCCAGGGTTAACAGGAAAGAGTGAAAGAGCTCCTACCTGGAAAAGATTACTTTGATTGTCTAATTCTTAATTTGTTGTTGAAGCGAGATCACTCCAGGAGTTTGCAGGCGTTTTGAAAAACCTGGAAGATGAGCGTGGACGTTTGGTGAGTAGTATTTTGGGAAATCAGCCTTGCATTTGATACAATGCCTAATCACGTCTTCGAGACTTCTCAAAGCTCTTCAAAGGATATACTGTAAGGTGTAGTGATTGTGTATTTTGTGGGCGAAACGCAGCAGCTACTTGCGCACAGCAGTTTCCCACAAACAGTCATGGATTGGATGACCGCATTTTCTTTGGAAGGATTATTGTGTAATCCTGTTGTGTAGTTAAGTTTCGGAATTGTAAGGTGAGTTGGAATGAGCTCTGAGGGATCTAGGAAACCCTTTCTTTGCTGCTATCTCATCACACGTGCAGATGTGTGGGGAAACCTCGTAATTTTGAGTTGCTGCTCCCAGCGCCAAGTGTTTAACTTCCTCAGATTCTTATACCCATTGTGTTGGATGCACAGCTCAGGTAGTTTGAATTTGTGGTACACAGGAGAGAAACGCCAGCACAGATAGGATGGACCAAAAGGCCTTTTAGCATTGTAATATTCTCTAATTTTATTTGATTGGCAGGATACACAGCTGGTTGAAGCCAGGACACTGCTGTGATGAGAGGAGGGGAGGGTGGGTGTTCTGGTGGGATGAGATCAGATTGATCGAAGGACCTTCTTCATACAAACGCATTGTGTGATCTTATTAACATCAGAAGCCAAAATTCTGCCTGGGTTTAGTCTGAAAGACCAATTTATCTTCAAAATTAAGATTGCACAAATGTTGGAAAAATCTTAACCTCTCCGACCTACTATCCCCCTACGTACCTGCCCATACCCTCTGTTCCTCTGGCTCCGGTCTGCTCCACATCCCCCGCCCCAACCGCCCTACAATCGGTGGCCGGGCCTTCAGCCTCTCAGCCCCGAGGCTCTGGAACTCCATCCCCCAATGCCTTCGCCGCTTCCTCCCTTTCCTCCTTCAAGGCCGGTCTCAAGACCTTTCTCTTTGACCATGTCTTCAGCTCCCCTCTCGACTCTCTACCCCTCCTCGCTCCCTCCCTTCCCTCCCCTCACCCTGACCATTTCCCACTGCTCGGGTCCTGACCCAACTGTCCAGCGCCTTGGGACGTCCTCCTGATGTGAAAGGTGCTCAATGAATGGAATCTTGTTATTGTTGTAAAAGCAGCTGTAAGTTGGAAGCTGATTTTCTGTAGTTCTTTGAAAGAATTGCCTTCCTCAGATAAATTGTGGTCTTGTTTACCTCTTGCGGTGGAAGGTAAAGATCCCCTGGCACCATTCCAAAAGAGACTGGAGTTTTTCCTGGTATCTTGGCCAACAGTTTCTAAGATAAAATTAGTCACTTGTTTCACAGTTGTTTGTGGGGATTTTTCTGTATGTAAATTGGCTGCCATGATCCCCTACAAACTTAAGTATGTTTTACATTTTAGTAAATCCTGTGAAGCAGTTTGAGACATTCTTCTATACCAAATGCAAGGATTATTATTATAATAAAGATAGCATGCGATGTAAGCTGGTTTAAGGAATGGTCCAAAAGTGTACAGACAGAAAATGTGACAGAATCAAGTGAAATAAGGACCATCTTAATCCTTTTACCCAGGCGCTGTTTTTCTTTTCTTAACTTTCCATAACCGTGTAGTTAGTCACAAAATCCTAGTTAACGGCTGACCCGGTAATCTTGTTAAATACCTCCCATGGTCAGGCATTGAACTAAACAGATTAGCAGGATCCTAAATTCAACCCCTGGTCTGTTGGAGGGAAGGGGGGGGGTGTTGGGTGGGAAGTGGGTGATACGGGAGGGAGTTTCACAATTAGGTTTGATATAGCAAAGGAAAAATGAGAAGACAAGACCAGAGTTTCCCCTTCTGATTGTGTGAAGCGTATGTGCATGCGAGTTGTAGCTATGGGTGTGTGTGTGTGTGTGTGTGTATACACAAGTGGTAAAGGTCAGATTAATCTTCCCTTTGACAGTCCCTACAATTGCATCGCTTGCTGATGCCAGGGAAAATAGCCAATTGAGCGAGTGACTGGTAAACGTCCAGTGTACTGATTTTTACTGTAGTTCATAATTCCTTGGCAAGCTTTTTCTTCTTGTCCTAAAGTCTGCTATTTTAAAGCCTTCCGCTCCTGCATTGTTTTTAGCATTAGCCTTTGATGACATGAATGTAGCCTCACAGTAATTATCAGAAACTAAGTGTTCATCGCCTCCAGGCTGTGACTCAAACTCGACGAACTGCAAAATCGAGGGCAGTGTCTGTCCCAGTAACCTACTTCTGTCATGAGTACTCTGACATTGGAAGATTGCACTGAAATATCCCTAGTGATTTCCTTCCCTGCGGGAATGTACTGAGTTGGTGGATTAATGACTTGTACATACATCTACACAAATGCACCATTGTCGTAAGAAATAATAATCCTCGCATTTGGAAATGTTTCCAAGACTCCGATGAAATAAAAATTCTTGAGTTGGTCCAATTTTGTAAAGAACAATCACCACATTAGTCCTTGAAGCTCAGTCTTGACCAAACAGTTGCTGTGTTTTTAACCAAAGTATGTGACTTGTCTTTAGCAGAGAAAAAAAAGTTAACTATTTTTGTTGTAGATTGACCATATTTGCTGGGGTTGCAATGAATCTCATTGAGTTTCTCACTTTTCAAAATAAAACATTCTTGACCATTGATGTGTAAATGCAATTTTTTTGTATTATGGTAATTTAGAGGATGACTGATCTGAACTTTAAGACAACAAGTAACTGTAAGACAAGCAGCTGAATATTATCTGAACCGTAACATTCAGGGATTGAGACTCTAGAGGTTGCTGGTCTAATACTGCCTCTTGATGCATGAAACTGGAATTGCATGCTTTAGTTTGCGGTCTTTTTTTTAAAAAAAGAACTTAATGACATTTGAAACGAGTTTACGAATTTTTTTTAAAAAAGAAGCAGAATTATCTATTAAACATTGCTTATATTTTTCCAAAAGACGCTGCTGATATCAGAAACGTATCCTTGAACCCCAGTTTCATTACGTTGTAATGCCACTGAAGCTGATGTGTTTGTAGTAAGTTTGGATGTTTAATAACTTTGTAGGAATTGACGTACTTACTCAGACATTGCATACACACGAGGGGCGAGTAGTAATTTTGTGTCAGATAGGTTTTATTACCAGATGAGTGTCTCTGCCCAAACACTGATTCTTTATTTGCACATCCGGCAAAGGATTTTAAACAGGGTTTTTATCTTTTGTGCAGATTGAGAATGCCAGCGAAGTTCTCATCACCCCGTTGGAGAGGTTTCGGAAGGAGCAGATTGGGGCTGCGAAGGTAATGTCCTGTGGGAGCCCACACCTCCCCCCACCCCCTCCTCTCCTCCCCTTCACCCCTCTCCTCGCCTCCCGCTCTCTCTTCTCCTCCCCTCCCCAAACTCTCACCAGCTGAAACTCGCACAAGATATTCTGCTTGCTTCTCTCTTCCCAACATTGAGGGGGAATTTTTGGTGAGCGTTGGCTCGCGGTCTGACAGTTCAGTGCTGTGTTGAGGGAGTGCTTCATTGTCAGAGGTGCCGTGCTTCAGAGGAGACATTAGCTGAGGCCCGTGTGCTCGTCCAGGTGGGCGTTATAGATCGATCCCGGGCCACTTTTCAAAGAGTGGAGAGAATTTCTCCCGGTGTCCTGGCCAACAGATAAATTAGTCTGTTTGTGGGACATTGCTGTGCACACCCAACCTTTTTGCCTACAACTGTAGCTACTAGACTCTACCGCACAGTAACTATGTCACGTGCTTTATGATATGTTGATATTTTAGGCGTTATATTAAAAGCAACATATTTTGAGCAAAACTGGAACCCTAGCAACCCAGAAATCCATCTTTGGCCTCTATACTCGAAGCCAAATTGACCGTGTCCAGTCTACTGTGTAAGTAGCTGAATTCTTCAACCAAAGAATGTTCTGAAAAATGGCTTTGTGGCCCTGCTTTATCTTCTGTTTAAAACCTGGAACTATGAAATTGTTAAGTTGTTATGTTTCCACTTTAGTAACTCTGAACAGAAGCTGGTCTTTCATCTGGACCGAGTGTTTCCCTCTCCTCCCTCCCCCCCACCTCCCTCCCGAGGTGATCGAATGCTTGTAAAAGCATGTAATGCCAGGCAGGTGTTTGAGGATTGAGCCAGATCAGCAGGTGAACTTTTCTCGTACAGCACTGCCCAGAGAATCAAGTGCAACAGCATCTTTTTGTTTTATATTAAAAAAACACAGCCTTCATTTAAATTGGGGGGAGAAATAAAATCCATTGTATTGTGAATTGTGTTGCATTCACATCTCCTCAGCGCATCAGCGTGTTTGAGTTTTTGCTGGCCAGGCGGCTTTGCACCAGCCACGCCAGTGTAGTTCAGCCCTTTGCGGCCCTGTTCATACCACAGTGGGTTCAGAGCAGAACCGAGCTCACTCGCTTGCAGAATAGATTGTCAGCTGTGAGTTTAGAGACATCAACTTGGCTCACAGGTGGTTTTGACACAAGCCAGAAGCATTATGGCGGTCTCGTGAATGACGCAAAGAATGGTGTGAGATATTAGAGAGGCGATATCAGAGGAAATCAATGCAGCTGTAGAGAAACGAATGTGCATGTTGTGCTGTGCATGCTGTTCATCATGGAGTCCTGTAGCTCAGTGGTTAAGAGCACTCGGCTCGCAAGCGAGAGGACTGGGGTTTGATTCCTGGCAGGGCGAAACCTTGGGCAAGTTTCCTTACTCCACACACATGTCTCTGTTTACCCAGTAATAAGTAAGAGCCTGGTTGTTAGTCGATTGGCGGATCGCTTTTCTAGGGGTAATAATTCCTTCAAAAATAAAAATATTTTGGTCACTCAATCCAGGACTGTTTGTGGGAACGCTGCTGTGCTCAATCGGCTGCTGCGCTTCGCCCACAAAATATACAGTTAATTCACTTTACAGTATATTCTGGGAAGCGCTTTGAGGCGTCTCAACGACGCGATAAGGTGCTACACCAATAACAAACCAGATTCATCTCGCGGAAGGTAAGATTCCCCACCGCCGCACCAGAATCTCTTTCATTTGCTCCCCTCCCCCTTTGGACAGGAGGCGAAGAAGAAGTACGACAAGGAAACAGAAAAGTATTGCAGTGTGCTGGAGAAACATTTAAACCTGTCCTCAAAGAAGAAAGAAACGCATCTGCAAGAGGTAACCCCACATTTCGCTGCAGTTGGAAAGCTTGTATGGACTTTTTTATTCATCTGGTTCGAGTCCTACCTAACACTTTCACTTTATCTCTTCAAACGGTTTCTCCTCCCGCCCAGTCTCCTGTAGTGTACCCCAGCGCTCCCTCCTTGGTTTCCTCCTCTTCCTCATCTATATCCTCCCTCGTGGCGATGTCATCTGCAGACCCAGGATAAAGGTCCACATGTATGTGGATGCCACACAAATCTGCTTTTCCTCCTCCAGCTCTAGGACCCTACCCTGCTTGAGGGGCTCTATATAAATGCAAGTTGTGCTGTTTTTATTCATCTGCCTGGTTTAGAACCAAACGGCCCTTGAATTGTTGATGTTTCTTGAATGCAGTTTGCTGGTCCGTGTCTGCTGGGATTTTGCCCACTTGGTCTCTGTGCTCTCTGTTCTGTATTGGTTGCCGCCCTGACCTGCCTTCTATTTGAATTGCAGGCGGACTGTCAGGTTGATGTTGTTCGAAAGCATTTCTACGAGGTGTCACTGGAGTATGTGTTCAGAGTGCATGAGGTCCAGGAGCGAAAGATGTTCGAGTTTGTGGAACCAGTAAGTGATCAGTTTATACTTCATTGGATCCCGGTAGTGCTAGACATTGGTAATGTCGAGTTCTGTAGCTCTGTGGTTAGAGCACTGCGAGAGCACCTGGGTTCGATTCCCAGGCAGGGCGAGACGTTGGGCAAGTATTTTATGCTATTCTCCTCTGGTTACCTAGCAGTAAGTCGGGAACCCGTTTGTTAGTTGTTGGATCGCGTTTCCAGGGCTAATAATCACTTCAAAAAAAAATAATTTTTAAAATTTTTTAAATTGGTCACTTCAATCCATGGCTGTTTGTGGGGACGCTGCTGTACCCAATTGGCCGCCGCGTTTCATCCACAATCAAAATATACAGTCAATTCGCTTTACAATGTATTCTGTGAAGCGCTTTGAGACGTCTCAAAGACGTGATAAGGCGCTGTATCAAATGCAAGGATTATTATTTATTATTTTGAAATTGTTTCACAGCTGCTTGCATTCTTACAAGGGGTCTTCACGTTTTATCATCATGGCTACGAACTGGCAAAAGACTTTGGTCACTTCAAAACCCAGCTTCAGATCAGCATTCAGAACGTGAGTGAAGGCCGGTGGGCTGATTCTAAGAAAGAATATTAGGGTTTGAGATTGCTATTGTACTTGTTTTATCGAGGTAGGCACGGTCAAATAGAAAGGTCTTCCGGAAGTAGGGGGCAAGGCGGAGGGATAGAGGAAGAGTGTTCCAGACTTTCAGGGCGTGATGGCTGAAAGTGTGCCCACCGATGGTGGAACGGAGGGCACGAGGGATAAGCAGGAGGCCAGAGCCAGTTGAGCTGAGGCAGTGAGTAGCGGGTTGGGGAGTAAGCAGGTCGGAGAAGTAGGGAGGTGCCAGGACATGAAGGGATTTGAAGACGAGTGTGAGGATCTTGAAATGAATCCGTTCAGTGATAGGGAGCCAGTGGAGCCTGGCTAGAACTGGTGTGATGGGGGAGGTATGGAGTTTATTATCATGGCTACGAATTGGGAAAGAAGACTTGAATGAGGGCCAGCCTGAAATTGACTTTGTGTGACTTCTTGCAGACACGCAATCGTTTTGAGGGAACACGACCTGAGGTTGAATCTCTGATGACGAAAATGAAGGAGAATCCTCTTGAGCACCAGAGGATCAGCCCTTTCACAATGGAAGGCTACCTTTTTGTACAGAAGAAAAGTATGGACGAACCTGCATTTCCGCTTCTATTTACAATAATTGAGCAATAATTTAGGACGTGTTTTCGAAACGCTTCACAAATATGTACGTGATGTTAAAATGGATTATTTAGGATGTGAGGGGAGCCGGTTTGTGAAATGACTCGCTGGTCGGTCGTCAATGATGCATTGATTGTAGCTCATGAATTAGGTGAAAGATTGGGTTACTTCCATGTGCAGTGGGTCAGAGAGTGGTATTAGCAGTAATGTACAGGTTTGTGTAGTGTTCACACCACAGAAACGGGGGGCAAGGCAGAGGGATCTTGGCTAATGCACATAGAAAAGGTCTAGAAATGGGGCAGAGAGGAGGGGAGTCAGTGGCCCGGGAACAGATCACTTGTCCTATTGGATGGGACTATTTTTTAGGGTGGGTGGGGTGGAAATCTAACAAGTGAAGGTTGCAATAACTTCATTATAAATTCAAAGCGCATTATTATTTATTTCCAGGCCCTTTTGGATCCAGCTGGGTGAAGCATTACTGTACGTATCAGAGAGAATCAAAGAGGGTTACCATGGTACCGTTCGACCAAAAAACTGGAGGAAAAGTAGTAAGTCGAATTCCTATTCCATTGGTGACTGAGTTTTCCAATTCCATACCCCTAACCTAGGGAACTCCCTCCCTCAACCTCTCTGTCTTGCCCCTCTCAGTCCGTCTGCCAGACCTGCCTTTAAAACCTTCCTCTTTGACCAGCCTACGGTCACCTCCCCCTTTTCCCCTCTCCGCGCCCCCCAGCCCGCTTGACCTCCTTCCCCACCACTGTGCAGCACTCAGACATGATTCCACGTGAAGGGCCCCATATAAATGCAAGTTCTTGTGGGGGTGATGTATTTCATGATGCGAATACATCCCTTGTGTAAGTTTAAACCGCTAAGCCACAGTAGCAGACAATCTGCTTATGTGCTAAACATGCTTTATATTTATAGCTGATTCGTGAGACTTGTCTGAGTATCTTTAGCAGCATGTCATTTGCAAACTCTGACACAAGGCCAAAGCTCCTGCTTCCAGCAATGCTTCACAGTCTGTACCCAAAGCCACTTACACACAGGAACGAGAGGAATCTGTCATCAGGCACCATTTGTGGAGTCCTGTAGCTCGGTGGTTAGAGCACTCGCCTCGCAAACGAGAGGACCTGGGTTCAATTCCTGGGCAGGGCGAAATGTTGGGCAAGTTTCCTTACTCCACACGCAGCAGTAGTTCACCGAGCAGTAAGTAGGAACCCGGCTGTTAGTCGATCGGCGGATCACTTTTCCGTGGGTAATCCTAAAAAAAAAAGTAATGATTTGGTCACTCAATCCATGACTGTTTGTGGGATGCTGCTATTTGCAATTGGCTGCTGTGTTTCGTCGACAAAATATACAGTTAATTCATTTTACAGAATATTCTGTGAAGGGCTTTGAGACATCTCGAAGATGTGATAAGGCGCTATATCAAATGCAAAGAACATGGTTATTATTATTAACAAATTAGTGGACTTTCCTAACAGTCTAAAGCTTGAACAAAGCTTATGGGAAAAGCAGCTGTTGGTGCATTTAATAATAATAAAAGATAATCCTTACACCACCTTCATGCTGGAAGGCCGTTTCAAAGTACTTGACTGTAAAGTCAATTTTTGGAAGCAGACATCAGTCAGTACTTTACAAAAAGAAATGCAAGGATTACGACAAGTAATGTTGATTAGAGTGACTGGTTTTGCGCACAGCAATGTCCCCCAAGCAGCCATGGGGTAAAAGACAAGTCAGACGGGACAGTGGGAGAAATTCCCCTCCTCTTGTTGATCATCATTATTATTTGCTTCCTCCATTCCCCAGGGAGACGAGGAGCTGTTTACCTTGAAATTGTGCACTAGGAGAAAAACCGACTCGATCGAGAAGAGATTCTGTTTTGATGTGGAAGGAGTGGACAGGTCAGTTGGGAGACGTTCATTGAGTGAGGAGGGTCGAGGGAGAAAGATGACCAAAAGCGTGGTCAAAGAGGAAGGTCTTGAGGTGGACCTTCAAGGAAGTGAGGGACGAACTAGCCGAAGGGACTCCAGGATGGAGTTTGAAAGCCCAGCTGCCGATGGTGGGGTAGGGGACATGAGGCAGGCCGGTGCCTGCTGTGCGGTAGGGTTGGTAGGGTAGCTATCTGCCCATAGCACGGCACACACAACACAGCAGCCAGTTGCACATAGCGACATCCCATGGGGAAACAAAACCAATTGATCTGGACATTTTAAGAGAATTTATTAAATTCTATCATGGAATCTTTAACTTATACCTGAAGAGCAGACAGATGGCATCCAGGTCTGCTCTGTTGGCTTAAGATCCAGTCTCACATCTGTGCAGGACTTTTGCTTTGAAGTGCATTTGAGGGTAAAGAAAGTGGGTCTGGTTTTAAGTATCAACAATGGTTAACAAACGTGAGTTTTATTCTATATTCACGGAATGTTTGGCACTCTAGCAGAGAGAAGGGTGAACCGATGAAGCATTTCGTTGTGGCTTTTGCATGTATTTACAGTGCGTGTTCTTTACAGAACAAGTGTCATCACGATGCAGGCATTTTCTGAAGAGGACAGAAGGTTGTGGATTGAAGCCATGGATGGCCGAGAGCCTGTAAGGAGTGCTTGTTAGCACCGTTCATAAGTTCTTGCTTATTCTGTTGTTCAAACCAGTTGATGTGAATTGAATGATTGCTGGTTGCACTTCACTTTAATCATTTTAAGACCCACGCTTGCGTTGGACAAGATCCAATTGTGGCCCAATGTCTGAAACAGCCAATAGTATACCAATAAGAGAGAATTCCACTCGACTTTGTTCTATAAGTATTGAAGGCAGATGGAGCGGTGGTTAAATAGAACCGTTAAAACTGCTTTAAAATACCACAAGCTGCAATTCATTCTTTGGCCTTTGAGAGACAGCAGCGTTCCAGTTTTTAATGTGCTTTGTGAGGCTAAACATAAAGAACTATCAAGGAAACTGCTCTGAGTACAGGAGATGGGAATATCTCGGGTCATTTGCCAACATTGCCTCCGTGCATACTCTTAATTAATTTTCCATTACAGTTGATTTCCCACTGCATTCACTTGAGAATGTTCTGCTTTAAAATGATTCAGCTAATAATGAGGGCCAGTGAGTGGCAGAGTAGGCAAAATTAGATCTATGCGTTAAGGAACCTGCTGCCTTCGTCTCTTCCCTCCGTTGCTTTTATGATTTACTTTTAAGCTATCATGCACTGATTGACAGCTTCTCCTTTAATATATTACTGGGGGTTTCATAATCCCTGCTCTTGATATGTGCCGCCTATAATGTCAAAACATCTCAAAGCACTTCACAGGTCATTTCCATCAAGTGTGGATTTGTGCATATGTGGCTCTGAGTTTCTATCCTTCGCTCCTTTCTTCCAAACCCGAAAGCGAGCATCTTGCGATATCCTTCTGATGTGAAAGGCGCGATATCAAATACATGTTATTTTTAATGTGCCAGAGGAATGCTTGGCTCGGTTGTCACTGATGGTGGTCAAGTGGGGAGCGAGCAATAGAGCAGAGTCAGAAGAATCAAGAGCTTTCTTTATAACTTTATATTTAATGGAATCCCCTCTAGACTAAGATTGCTAGGGTAGTTATTAGATACACTTTGTAGCCACTAGCTAGTGAATAATCTTTCTAATTTTTGACCCCCTAAGTAACATTGTCCAATTATTTTTTGTCCGAGCTAGTCATTCGTGTATGAAATTTTCTTTTGCCAAAGTACCACAATGGCATCGTTTGTGTTTCAACTGAAAAGACGTCTGAAATCACATCCATTCAAATCCTCTGGCCTTTACAATCAGTAGTGAACGATCACCTTAAATAACGAGGGCTAAAGCAGCTGAAACACACAAAAAGGTGAACTGGTACCTGGGGGCGTTTACATTCACAGTGACACGACAATGCTTGGGTACATTTAAGCAAGTACACTTTGTTCTACTCCAACTCTGAGCCAGTAAAACAGGATGGCAGTTTAGCGACAGAACACCCCCCCCCTTGCATATATATTTTAATATATTAAATATATTTAATATATTGCAACTGTCAGATGGGAGGATTCGAATGAAACAGTGCTTTTTTTTTGCGCAAGTGTCATCCTGAATATAAATAAAATGCACCTTCATTAGGATGTTGTGTAACGAGAATATTTATTTATCTCTGTTTCCCAACTGATGTCAAGAGAACGAGACCAAGAGAATAGCCAGCAACTGTCCTTCACGTGCTGACCCCTACAGCTATAATAATAATCCTTGTCACGTCTTCGAGACGTCTCAAAGCGCTTCTCAGACTGTACTGTAAAGAGAATCGACTGGATATTTTGTGGACAAAACACGGCAGGATACAGAAATGTCACACAAACAATCATGGATGGATTGACCAAATTTTTGGGGGGAGTGGGGGGGGGGGATTACCACCCCCGAAAAGTAATCCACCAATCGATTAACAACCGGGTTCCTACTTACTGCTGGTAAACAGAAGTGTGTGAAGTAAGGAAACTTGCCCAACATTTCACCCTGCCCGGGAACTTATGTAAAACTTTGCCCAGTGCTTGTAAGAGTGATCTTGCAGTAAGTGGTCTTACAATAAACATGCAGATAGATTCACCACTAAACACGGCACCAGGCTTTCTGGAGATCACAGATGTAGGGTGGGGCAGGGTCAAGGCCTGGAGGGATTTGAAGGGAAGGAAAGTGATTGTAAAATTCATCTCCGGGAATGGGGAGCCACGGAACTGTGAAAGGATGGGGGTGATGGGCTCAGTACTGGTGTATTTCAAAGAAATGTAAGGTTAATGATTTACTTGTTCAACTAAAATAATCCTGCAATTCTATTTTCCAGGTGTACAACTTAAATAAAGACAGTCAAGTACCCGAAGGCAGTGAGTAGCTGATGTCACTGATAAAACTTGCTCATTTTGGGTAGAGTCCAAGCAACTATTAATATGTTCTAACAAATGAAAGTACGATGCAATGCAGTTAGTCTGTAACCTGCAGCGGAACCACATCTATTATAATGTGTTGCTGGGTTCCACAAAATCCCATCCCTATAACTAGATGCAACAACTGGTTTCACTGCACCAACCAGCTCACTCTCACCGCTGGCCACCTTCTTGCTCTTAAAACGGTCCACTTTCAGGTCATTGGAAGACCGCCGACATTATTTCCTGCGTGATGGGCACCCAGAAAACAGGAACTAATGTCAGCAGGCAACTTGATGACCTACATGTCAAGCTCAATCACTGGGCAGGAGTCAACGAGGCTAAATCTTAGCAGTAATGCTGTTTCTGGGAAATACTGTCCACCTACCAGATTGTGTCCCACAGCAAAATTCTTTCCTTAAAATTGTCAGAGTTTAACTTTCAATTCTTTTATCAAAGTTGACGTGTGGATTTCCCTTCTCATTTTCAGCCCAGTTGGACAAAGTTGGATTTAACTTAGTGAAGAAATGCATTCAGGCCATCGAAGAAAGAGGTAAATAATGGAGATTTCTATACACATTTTCTTTACTATATGTTTGTATATGTGGAGTTTGCTATAAATTGGGGAAATGCTGTTGTTTATTATGATCAAAATATAATTTTCTATCATATTGCATTGTATTTTTTATGTTCTAATGTTATCTGTTATTTGTAACAATACTGGTATGCCCATAAGCACTTTGAGATACCCTCTAATGTGAACAGCATAATATAAACGGAAACATGGTTAAAAAGAAAGCTTTAGGGTGAGGTTGGGGGTGGGGGCAGAGAGTACACCTGGATGGGCTTCCAGAAACATACTGCACTGCTTTAAGTCCATCACAGTGTGGAGCTGGCCTATATTTGATATTCATTGACTATTTAGAAGGAGAATCTATGCCCACCTGTCTAACATCAATTAAATATGAATGCATTTACCAGGAGACACAATAGCAATTAAAACGCAGTCATTGTGTGCCTTATTATGCTTCCATGACAGTGGGGAGTTGTGTTCAGTCATTATGTACTGGAAATCACACAATGTACAATTGGTGATGCAAGTTTACTATCAGGAGAAAGAATTGATTGGATTTCTTCACAACTGGAATTACTACTAAATGTTTAACACGGATCTAATTGATTATCAGTCACTTGCAAAGCAATGTTCAGGCCACATGTGTTGCATCCGAGTAATAAGATTCATAGTGGAAAGAGCTGTGAGTGATTTAGTTAGAACTACTGAAACAGTGTGCTGAATTTCTGAAATTGATTGCCAAACAACCTTTGCGGCTTGCATAAGCATCACCAAAGCCATTAGTGTTTCCGTAGAAATGACTTTGGATACAAGCGACATAATTGATCCTTCGTAGAAACTCTTAATGCAATTTTTTTTTTTGCGCTGCAGTATGCAGTTTGTGTGGTCTTTATTTAATATCAGAATGAGTTCAGGAAGCATTGGGCACATCTGCATCGTTGCCCTAGGTTGGGAATAGGGAAATTCTCTTCCTTTACACGATTATGCAGTCAGTCAGTTAGTCAGTCACTGTACTAACTGCTCATATATGAAAATATCTGATAATTGTATATGTTGAGTCACTTTACTTGATGTTCCGGGTAGTGCACCCACTGTGATACACATTTTGTACCAAGCTAGATGGTTCAGATCCTATTCATTCAGTTTTGTCAAGGTTTGGCTTTTGAGCCTGGATCAATCAAGTTTAGTTAATAATAATAATCCACGCATTTGATATAGCATCTTATCACTTTGTTGAGACATAAGTCAAAGTAAACAGCTCGTTAATAAAACCATAGTGATGCAGGTTCACTGACTGGATTGGGGAGAGGGGTGGGTTTCTGTTTCGTTTCAGTACTGAACCACTTTCTAGGATTCTAAACTTGATGGAAGAATATTGCGGGGGAAATTGTTTACAGACGTTTCAATGGCAAAAACACTAGAAGTTTGACGTTTGGAGATGCTTTGCCAACGTTTGTTTTGTAAAGATTGAACATAACTAATTCAGTGACTGTACTTAAATGCAATTTCAAATGATGTGCTCCTGTCCTGGATTAAACCATTGACGCATTTCCCACATTTGGATCAAAATCACCTTGTTTTGTCAAAGTCATTGACTTCTGTCGTGGTTTTTGTATTCCCACCTTTTGGGGGGAGAAAATAAGTTTACAGCTTTCCTTGAGATTCAGAGAGAACAGCATTAGTGCTGAAAATTTAATTTTTCACTTACTTCCATATCAATCTTCTTAATGATGTATTTCGCAAACATAGTGGGTTTTAGAAATTACTATGTTGACATTTTTTTCTATTTCAAAACAGGCATTAATGAGCAAGGCCTTTACCGAATAGCTGGCGTCAACTCCCGGGTTCAAAAATTGTTAGGTATATTGATGGGTAAGTGCGGAGTTCTTTTTTCCCTTGTCTCTTTATGTGCGTTGGACTATCAAAGTGAGGGATGACAATATTGAGTTATCCTTTTGTGGACTCTTCTGTTCACCCTAAGTGTTAACTGTAAAGCTGTCTGAATTCTTTTTCCTACGGCATTTTAGGAGGAGACGAAAGTGCCTTCTTTCTCAATCAAAGCTGTAACCAATCCCAAATATCCCAATCCTAAATATCCCAAACCTATCCTTTGGGATTGATTGTAGCGTTGATTTAGAAAGAAGGCTTGTCTTCTTAAAATGCTGTAGGAAAAAGAATTCAGAAAACCTTATGCAATCACATTACCTGAGCTGTCTTGTTGGGGAGCAAGAGGGACTGAAGGCCAAAAAAGTAAGAATAACATCAGGAGATTGTAAGCATTATTTACTGTCTCTTTTCATCTCATCATATACTTTACTCTTTATTTCTCAGATCCAAAAGGAGCTGATGATTTAGACTTGGAGACCTCAACTGAATGGGAGATAAAGACGGTCACCAGCACGCTTAAACATTATCTCAGGTAAGAGCCTTTAGTTTTATTTAGGGGGGAGGGATGGTGGATAACACCCACAAAACACAGTGTTACCTTAGCTGTCTTCCCTTCCCCTCCCTTCCCTTACCCCTCCAACCCCAGCTCGGGTCTGAAATGCTGTACACCATCCAATGCCTTGGGCCATCCTCCTGACATGAAAGGCGCTATACAAATGTAATCTTGTTGTTGTTGTTACTACACTTTACAGTATATCCTGATGTGAAAGTGGCTATACCGAATGTAAGGATTATTATTATACATGAGGGAGAGAAGAGAGGGGTTTGGCAGACAACCAGGACTACAGGGAAGGCTAGAGAGAGGTATTAGGGTGGGTGGGGTTTTGTGTGGAATGTAAACACCAGCACAGACACGTTGGGCTGAATGACCTGTTTTGATGCCTCAGATTCTATTTAATTCATCTAATCTGGACAGTTTTTGCCCACATTTGTAGAATAACCTTGAGCTTGATTATACAGTACCTTATACACGTACACTTCAGCTATTGAACATCAAACAACATATGTCATTGTTACTGTCTCTTATGTCTTGCACACATCGTGACTGAGAGTTCACCCTGGCATATCCTGATCACATATAGTCAGAGAGGTGGGATTTCCTTTGTTCCAACAATCTAATCTCATTCAAGAGATTCACACTTATTATTTAAATACAGTATTGAAGAACTTCTAGGAGACGGCACATTTCTACAGGGTATATATATGTATATAGGCAGATCAAATAGATTAGGCTTAACATTCTGTGGAATTCAGTCAGCACTTCAAATGGAGAACAAAACATTTAAGTTCAGGAACACAAATAGCAACAATCTCTTCCCATTCCTAACGTTCTACACAAATGAGTTTGGTGACAGTTGAAATAATAATTATAATGCTATTCTTTCCGTTTGACACTTCTTCCTAATTTATAATAAGATAGTACAGCAGATGAGCTTTTTTTTAAAAAAAAGGTGCAATTTTATTGCCAAGTTGTTGTTTGTTTCATTGTAATAAGCATCACAAGCAAGTTGTGGGTTAGTGAATCACTCTAATCTGAAAGTTTTCAACTCTGGAACTCAACTCACGCAAAGTGATCTCCTGACAGAATGCTGCGTCAACAGTTCTTAAGTACAATTTTCTCTCTCAATTTGATGTCCATTACACAAACGCATGCCAGTACAATCGGGAGAAGAGGAGCATTATAATAATATAACAATAATAATAAACCATGCATTTGATAAAGCGCTTTATGAACTCTTTGAGATGTCTCAAAGCATGTCACAGAGTACACTGTCAAGTGAATTGGTTGTTTAATTTGTGGGCGAAACACGGCAGCCAATTGCGAAAATTCACAACTGCAGTGACCCACAAACAGTCATGGATTGAGTGACCAATTTTTTTNAAAAAGGAGTTAAAAATGTGCAAATGTGCTTGCTCTTTTCTTTGACTTATTGTTAATGTGAACAAGTTCATCGCCTTTTCGTTTGGTTTCAATAAATGCATAGTTTACATTGGAAAGTTCTAAGTGATACGGTTACAATAATCAATCAGTTCCAGGAACAGCTAGTGAGAGCTTGTACGTTCCGTTGCTTCTATGCCATTTTGGCTGAGCGTGGAAGCATTCCATTCTAGCCAACACGGTGTTGGCTGTAATGCTGATTTATGCACTGGCAGATGTAGTTGTCATATTGAAGCTCTGCATTTTGAGCAACTGAGACAATCAGGTTTAAATGCAAGTTCTGACTGGTGTTCTTATTGAAGTTGTCTTATTAATTCCTCTAAATCACACCTGCGCAGACAGCAAATTGACAATCGCAACTGAGTAATGAAACATCATTCAACTCTTTCCTCCCATCCCGAACTCCCCAATTACATGTGCCCTCGGCTCTCTGACAATAGTACGTTAATTTGTCTACTTTGGTTGAATTACCAGACTTTGTAATGACATCCGTGTACACAATGCAGAAATTTGTCAGACGGGACAGAAAACACACGTCCACCACCAGTGATGTCTGGAATTGACAGATATATTGCACGTCGGCAATTGTGTCCGTATTTTATTCAAACCTGTAGCAAGCTTTAGAATCCGAATGACAACCAGTGGCAACTCTTAAGCTAGAGGCAAACTAGGCAGCTGGGTACAGAGGCAGATTGTACTCTCAGTGGTTTGTTGGGTGGGGTTGAAATCACCCCGGTTTGACTTGGGATTGGACCGGGTCACTGTCGATCAGACTTCAGGAAGTTCCTGCATTAAAGACGGATACATAAAAGGTGTCAGAGGTGCAGAAGTGGCAACAAAGCCAAAAAGTGGGTCAGGCAAGGCAGCGCTGATATCACGACCAAGGTTTGTGATGACATGGCCACAGGTGACGGAAGCTATCAATGTTGCAGGGGCTTAAACGTATTTCCAGGCAATTGAGGGGGGAAAGAGCTTTTTGCCTAAGGCGGCAGATTGTCTTTGAGTGGCCTCTGCTGGCAACTATTCACACAAAGCCCATTCCAATTCTTCAGGTACCCTGTCTCTGTGGTACATTGCTGTCTGTCTGTGTAATTGGGAGAGATCATTGACATAATGCTCCCCCCCACACCCATGGAGGAAATTTCCTGACGGATAAAACAGGAGGAAAACGTCACTGTAATCTTCAGAGATTTTGGCGAAGAGCCGAATAACAATGCAAGAGAGAAAAAAAAACAACATAAAATCCAGAGCAGGTCACAGCAAAGATTTGTCAAATTTATCTTCATCTGATCAGTCACAGGAAATGATCACTTTACGTACAAGTTGATTGTTATTCAAGGAACACTTGTGTCACCATTTTCAGTATTCATGTCAACTCAGTCATCCTGTACCAGACACTGATGGCTGAGGTGACTGGTATTGAAATGTCTGCCTGTTGTTGTCACATTTGCTTTCCTTACTGTATCAGCCATTACAGCAGCACAGTGCTGACAGTTTGGGTTTCCAATTTATTTTCCATGTTCAGTGTCATGCCATAATTCCTTGCTCCCCACCCCCCATCCCCCGTCCCACCGCACTGAACCCACATACACTGGTTGAGTGAATTTTGCATACAGTCAATTCACTTTACAGTGTATTCTGTGATGCGCTTTGAGACTTCTCAAAGTCGTGATAAGGCACGATATGAAATACAAAGATTATTATTATTATTAAGCAGGGAGTGACATGAGGCAGTGATGGTGTTGAGAAGGTTGGTTTCAACACAAGGCCTGATGGTGAACCTATCGATAGGCTCAAGCCTCAGGAGGAAATAAGACTTTCCCACACCTTTCATTTGGGCAAAATGCGATGTAACTATCAGTCCCAGTGATGGCATGGATGGCTGCTTGTGCTCCAACCATTTTATTGACTCTCCATCAAACTAGGCTTGTTCAGACTTTGAAGTAAGGATCAGTATATTTTGCTCAATAATTTGGGGGTGTGAGGCTGTACCTTAGCCGGAGGAGTAAACTGGTCGAACCCAATACATTATTATGGATATTGAACTCCATGAGATGAAGACTGTGGTGAGTTGTGGCATGTTTTCCATTTTTTTTTAAAGAGGAAAGCAAGTGGTTATCAATTGAATCCTTCCTATTATACCTAGTTTGAGTATGTGATGCTGATCTTGTGATGGTCTTGTGATGATCAGCCCTGATCTTCTGTCTTCTATGTTTATGTAACCCTGTTAATTCTGTCTGCCTTGTATTTTTATCCAAAAATCTCTTTCAGGATACTTCCAGCTCCTCTGATGACCTACCAATTGCAACGCAGCTTCATCAAAGCGGCCAGTAAGTGGGGAAGAGTTGCTGTGCTCAATCAATGAAAACTGTTAATTAATGCAGCACGAGAGTGAGGCGGTGGTTTAACCTGGGGGCTGCTGGCTGAATAAAGTTACTTTATAAAAAGTATACAACAAAAACAAGTCATTTACTCCAATGAGGCTCATTTTCCCAACAATCTGCAGTTTTGCCCCATCGTAGCTTCCCTCCTCAGTATGTGCGCAAACATGCTTCCCGTTAATGAGAATCGTGTCTGTGGGATGCAGCTGATCAGCAGAACAATAGATTGTAAAGTTACCTCTCTGTCCTCGACCTTCGACTTTGTTGTCTTAAAGAGTCCGGAGCACTTTAAAAGCAGAGCAAATGGGAGCGGGAAATATGCATTGGGCTTCTTGCTTTTAATTGCTCTTTTGTCACAAACGGCAGTTTAGTAACATGGGATCAGGAGTAGGCCATTCAGCCCCTCGATCCTGTTCCGCCATTCTATTAGATCATTTGGGGGAGAGTTCCAGATTTCCACTCCCCTTTGCATGAAAATAGGCTTCCTGGTTCCATTCCTGAATGGCTCTAATTTTAAGATTATTGAAGTACTAACTTGCACACTATTCGCCTTTCGGCCTCATCATAAACCTCAGCGAGACTTAACGTGAGAAATGACGACCTCTTTTTCCGAGTGACTTTTTGTGCTGTTTTGAATGGGATTGTCCGGATCACACGGAACACCAAGAGTGTGTTTTGTTTCGTAATAGAGTTGGACAATCAAGATTCACGACTGTCTGAGATCCACAGGCAGGTGCACCGACTGCCAGAGAAGAACAAGGCCATGCTGGAAATCCTCATCAAACACTTGGCGAAGTGAGGTCAAATTTTCTCTGCCTTTGATCTTTGTCTCTTTCTTGCTTTTTAAGTGGTGGCATTTTCTTCGCAAATCATCTACATGAATCCATCCCTCTTCTGTGCAATAGATCGCAGGATGACACAGTGTTGCCCTACGATACAGACAAATTAGTTCCTTCAATTTGTAAGATGTGGATTTAGGGCTTCAGATTTCTGACAGGCTGACATTCTGATCTGAGCAAGGTGTCTGACCCAACAGACTCCCCGCTCATGTCCTCTCTGTGAAAGGGAATGTCATCCAGGTTTCTGTCATGTCATTCTTTATAGCCAGTGTGTCGAGGAAAAACCTGGTTGTAAACTGCTTGGCTTTTCAGGCAGGGAATGGTGCTCAGAACAGGAATACAACACAAATTTACACCTATACAAGACAGTCACTTCAGGAGGACGTCTTACAGTGCTTAGCGTACTGGCTGATCACCTGAGCTGTGGGTAGTGACTGTGTGGGTGTGGGGGGGTTGGGGAGAGCGAGAGAAGAAACTAGCTTTAGTAATTACACTTGGGGAAGTAGAGTGGGGAATATATAATAATAATCCTTGTGTTTGATATAGCGCCTTATCACGTGTTTGAGACGTCTCAAAGTGCTTCACAGAATATACTGCAGATTGAATTGACTGTATATTTTGTGGGTGAAACGTGGCAGACCAATTGCGCACAGCAGTGTCCCCACTAACAGCGGTGGATTGAGTGACCAAATTGTTATTTAATTTTTAAAAATTTAAACTAAAGCAAGGTTTTCCTTTCCTCCTTCCTGTATGTCCATATTTGCATTCCTTTTTTTTCCCCCCAAAAAAAAATTCCCATCGATGCCACTTCCTTTGCAGTGTTGGAAGGTTTGTAGGAATTCAGTGTAACTCACCAAAATAGCCGATAACAACTTTACCAGACAATGGCTTTGTGAATTAGATCAGGCTTTTGAAATACGGCTTTCTAAATTGCCTCGAGATGGTCAAAAACAAAAAAGCAAACAAAAAAAAAGTTGAGTAATCTGGCCTTTTGAATCTTTAGGTGTTTCTTCTCAGGCTAGGTTACCGTAGTAACCATGACATTATTCGCGCTGAGCTGCACAAGACAGAACTCGCCGATATTCATTCCTGGACTGAGTCACACACATTCATATCTCTTCATCTCCGGGGGCCCTGTTGTAATTGGAAATGTGCATTCCTAAATTCAAGGCTACTCTCATTGTGAAGGATCTATTTTTCAACATCATCACTCTCATCACCATCAACAACAACAACGAGCATTAGTGGAGTAGCTCAGTGGTTAGAGCACTCGCCTCGCAAGCGAGAGGACCTGGGTTTAATTCCCGGGCAGGTGTTGGGCAAATTTCCTTTCTCCACACGCCTGGTTACCCAGCAGTAAGCAGGAACTCGGTTGTTAGTCGATTGGTGGATCACTTCTCCAAGAGGCAATAATTCCTTCAAAAAAGAATATAAATTGGTCCACGACTGTTTGTGGAACACTGCTATGCTGCTGTGTTTCGCCCACAAAAATACACAGTCAATTCACTTTACAGTATATTCTGTGAAGCGCTTTGAGACGTCTTGAAAACGTGATAAGACGCTATATCAAATGCAAGGATTATTTATATAATTTCTAAAGGGTCTTCAGGTCGAGTAGCATTTCCGAGGACTTTACAGAGATGATGCCAGACACGAGAAGGTTAGGGTGGGGGAGGTGACCGCAGACACACACTCAAAGCCAATGAGGAGGGTTTACGGTGTGAGGAAGAAAAGAGAGCTGAGGATTGAAGTGAATGTCAAAATTGGCCCTTGTTCAGTGAGTTTTTGAGAGAGGTCGGGAAATTTTGAGAAAATCGGAAGAATTGGAAGCAAGGAGGCATTGACGGGAGCCAAGGAGAAGCCAAGGCTGCCATCTTGTCCGTGTTTCGTTGACGTTCTCTTTACAATTGCAAAATGTAAGGATTCACTGTGGTTTGCCCTAGTAATCCACTGTGAAATATTTTGTTTAATTATGTCCTTTCACGAATCATGACAGTATTCTACGCTTAGAGCCAAAGTTGATTTATATTCTTTTGATGACACCAGTCAACATTGCTGTAACTGAACAGGAGAATCCTAATTAAACAACTCTGATAATTTAAATCGCAAAGCTCACACCTCCTGAGTGACCCAATGAATATTTATGATATCCTGTGTATTCATGTCACAAGGCCTCATATCTAGCTTTATTTCAAACTAGGTGTTACTCTGTGTCAGTCAGCCCATAACAATATGTCCGCTCCTTGTGATAAAAGAGCCTTGTTCGCCTTTTCTGTGTTGAGAGACTCATTCGCTGGAGATATTGGTTGTCAGCTCAGTTGGTAGCACTCTCGCCTCATGAGTCAGAAGGTTGTGTGTACAAGCCCCACATAGGGATTTTGAAACCATAATTTAGGCTGACTCTCCAATGCAATGGTGTATTGTTGGAGGTCCCTTGCTTCGGATGGGATATTAAACTGAGATCCTATCTGCCTATTCAAGTCAACACTAAAGATCCTATGGCTATTCAAAAGAGGAGGGAGTTTCTCCCAGTGTCGGGGGCAATAATCCTCCAGATGAAAATTGGTTATTCACTTAATGGTTGTTGTGAAACACGAGACAAATAAACAAGTAAATCCTGTGAAATGCTTTGAGACTTCCTCCTGATGTGAAAGACGCCATATGAAATGATATTATTACTTATTTTGCTGGTCAGTGCTGAATCTGAGTGTTTAATGTCTCTCGTCCCTCAGTGTGTCCAATAACCACAAACAGAACCTGATGCCTGTTGCCAACCTGGGAGTGGTGTTTGGGCCAACCCTGCTCAGACCTCAGGAGGAGACTGTGGCTGCCATCATGGAGATCAAGTTCCAGAATATCGTGGTTGAGATCTTAATAGAAAACCAGCAACAGGTAGGAGAGGAATTTCAAGAAATTCTCCTCCAGTTTCGCTTTACAAGACGCTGCATGTAGGATTTTGAAATTGGTCACTAAGTGGTCGTCTCCGTTCTGCTTTTTTTTGTCTTTGCGATTACTGTAACTGTGGAGCTTTGAACTGGCGGGGATCCTCAGCAGCCTCCAGCAACACTGTAGGCAGACAACCCTCCCTCTACAAGTCCCAGGGGGTTTAGGGCACCTGTGTTCGCGATCAGAGTCTGCATCCCTCTTACAAACACTCTTACTCACAGTCTCCCTTCTGTACACTATACTCGCCTCTCTATCCAATCTCTAAAGGCCATGCATTCAACAGCTTTCTCTGCAACAGCACAATGAGCCTGCACTTGCATAACAGCGCTAGATAGAGTTTTCCATGAGATGCAAGCACCTCACCTACCTACGTTCTACAAAATACAGTCACTACACTTTACAGTAGTCACGTGAAGTGTTTAGAGATGTTTTGACTGTGTGAGATTTCTCAAATGCAAGTTTATTTATTATTATTGTTATTACAAGAACTTCACTTCAGGAGGTCTGAGTAATGGGAAAAATGAATCACAAAAACCACAAACAATTCATTCCCAATGAAAATGATCAGGAGTTGGCACTGTGTATCTAGAGGAACATCCATACACTGTACTGATGATTTATAGGTTAGGAAAAAGGTTGAGGAAATCTAGATCATTAAATATGTAAATGATTCAGCTTGAATTTGTAATTGAATCTCAGTTTGTTTACAAATGTACTTTTAAAAAAAAGGAATTGAGGAGGATTGAGAATAACAAAGTGAATGAATCGATCCTTCCACTTACACAGATGTACTTCCCTTCCATTGAGAGCCCTTCCTCCCACACTGTGAGTAATACCAAACCCACTCACAGCTGCCATGGAAACTGTGAATGTACATTTCACAAGTGAATAAGGCTCATTGAGTGCTTTTTGTGGTCTTAAAACGGCAATCCTGATCAGCACTGAAGTGCGTTTGATAAGCAGCAAAGCTCTCGCAATCCCCATTGGTTTCTGTTGGAGACCGCAGAATAGATCCCAAACTTTCATCTGAGTCGTGTTTCAGAACTGACTCTTTCGTCTGTAATGACTGCTGTAATGACTGATTGAGTATTTTTGAGTATTTTGTGATCACATGATTTATACATAAATATACAAGCATTTCAGCTGGTTAAGCTCCAGCAATATCCTAAAAACACACTCTGGGGTCCCCAATACTTGGCTCTCGCCAACCTACACCTGCTCGTAATAATCTCCAGAATTAAGTCAGCAGTCCCTCTGAGGACAGAGCGCATATTTCATGATAACAATACCAATCCTTGCATTTAATATAGCACCTTATCATTTCAGACATGGAGAAGTTTCCGTGTGTAGATGGCAAATATATCTCAAACTCTGTCAGTTCAGGTGTCTTTAAGGTTACTGATGGGTTTCCGCACATCCGGCTTCCAAAACACATGCATAATGTAAATTACAACCTTGCTATTTTGACCCAGTAAAGACTCAGTTCAGCCAAATTGACAGTGGTATCTCCTGGTTCTTCATTGGATTGCTATGAAATTCAAACTTGACTTGTATGACTTGTATGAAATGGTCACTTGTATGAAATGGTCACATTTTTCCATGCACACAGGTATTATTAAAGATTGCTTTGATTTGTATTCACAGATATTTCAGACTGTACCAGACTCTGTTGTGATACAAACAAACCCTTTGCTGAATTCTGCACCGAGAAAGAGTGGTGAAGGCAAGCCCCCATTATGTAGCCAGAGGCCCCTAATGTTATTTCAGACATCCTCAACTGAAAACGGTACGTACCTCAAATAAATATGGAAATTCTCAGAAGATCAAAGGTTATTTGAGAGAGAAAGAGATGTTAATTTCTTGGGTGAGAGTTGGATTTTACAGATGTACACAAAAATATTAAATGGGATTGAAAAAGTAACCCAGAACAATACTTTAGGATACACCAAAACACTAGAACAAGAGGACATGGGTTTAGAATTTCAATGGGCAATTTCAGGACAGACATCAGATAGTATTTCTTTACCCGGAAGGTAATTAATGACTGCAACGGGTTGCCAGGAAAGATGGTTGGGGCTGGGCTCATTTTAAAACAGTTTGTTGTTGTGATGGGAAGATGGTTTTGGTGGGTATTGTGGTTCAGACCAGATGAGATCCAAATGAACCACAAAGCTTTCTTGATCCAAGAGGAAGATCTTGAGATGGGTCTTGGATTGAGCTCAGGTCAGTGGATTGAACTTCCTGATGTGTGTGGCTCAATAACACACCACACAGTACATTTACCTGTGATAGGCTCATTACATTTGTCTATTTTGACTTTTACTATCCAGCTTCAGGAAGGAATATTATCTTGTACATGTGTTGTCATACAATAAGTGTAGGGTTGAAAGTTTAAACTGATCTGCGAAGAGGAGGATTTGCTCAGCTCCACTAAATGCACGAACGTTAATAATAAATGCTCAGATGCTCTAAGCACTATTTTTGAAGAGCCAGCTGTGCAGCGCTGGGAGCCTAAGCAGTTTCATCTGCGTGTCAAATGGTGGCTCATGTTTCATCAGACAAGAAAGCAACAAACATCATGTGGATCCAGAAGCCATAAAACCGTCTGTGATGACACTGTGCCCTGTGTGAAGTGTTTTCTACAGAACTTGACTCGGTATCCAAGCCCTTTAGATAATAGTAATGTCCAGGATTGAAGGATGGGACGGTATTTAAGCCATATTTTAATAATACTAATTTGATCACTCAATCCACGACTGTTTGTGGGACGCTGCCGTGCGCAATTGGCTGCCGGGTTTCGCCCACGAAATACAGTCAATTCACTTTACATTATATCCTGTGAAAGGCTTTGAGACATTTTGAAGATGTGATAAGGCGCTGTATCAAATTCAAGGATTATTATTATATTTTTTGCCTTGCTTTTATCAGCTTGCAACGGAATTTGACACAAACACTTGGCATTTCAGCAGTGCAGCTGTAGTGACCGAGTTTATTCGGATCCCCTCTAAAAAAAGATCTGTCTCTTCCGATTGCCCACTCCTTTACGATTTCACTGTTCATTCATAAAAACAGTTTGCTCCAGTCAAGAATTATTTTGTTGCTGTTCAGTCTGAAAGAAAGAGAGCCCCCGTGATTCTTCAGTCTGAAGAAGTCCAGCTAATTTGCTATCCTTTCAAAAGCCAATTAGATAAATATCTTTTAGGAAATTAGATCTTGGGATACAATATATAGTTTGGGAACCAGACCTGTGCATGCGGCTGCCAGGATGGTGGATAGTTGAACTGGATGGACTTTGGCCTTCTTTCCTCTAGCAATTATGTTCTTATGTACTGTTTTCTTATGTCGGCAGCTAAATTGTGTTTTATCATCATCAGGAATGAAACCCTGCAGGTTCAAATGTTCAGTTATGGAAATGATTCACTATGTGCTCTGTGGCTCATTTTTCTTCTGAAATTTATTAAGATGTTTAGACTTGTTTCATTCCTATACAATGCCGCATAAATTGAATTAGGTGTTTTATCTCCCCTCCACCTCCCCCTCCCACATCGCCTGGCAACAAGAATACTGTAATAGTGCTTACATTGTGTGTTGTTGACTTTGGGGAAGAACCGTGAAATTACAAAAATCTTTCTCTCGACAGAGAAGCGGAACAGTGTTCTGAACTCCAGCGCTGAGTCTGTGTTCTTGCCAACTGTGAATAGCTCATCCAAACCCAACACCCATCGGCAAAGCTTTCACAGCCTGGGCTCTTCTGACCTAGAGGTGGCTGCAGTGAAACTGGAACGTCCCAATTCTCTGTAAGTTCTACCAGTTGTCTGTTTATGTGTTTGCTCCTTCCCCTCAGCTTGATTTAGTTTTATTTCTCACCATTTTTCTATTGGAAATAAGTAGCGGACGTGCAATCCCAAGAAACCCTGCCTCGGACAAAACATTCCACAGAAGCTTCAAAACGCCCAAGGAAAAACACAGCTTAGGCCCATCTTGGATGTTCCTGTTTAGGTGCTATAATATTGCAAGAGGAAACAGATTTAATGACTGAGTTGTGTCAGAATTTGTTGCGATGCCTCTGACTGCCAACCATTCTAGATGGTGCTTTCAACCGGCTTTAAATAAAGTTGCTCAATAACTCGTTTACCCTCAACCTGTTCAGCACTCTAAATGTAGGTACTTTCCCTCAAGGTAAGTTACAACCTGAATTCCACCTGGGTCTGGATTTACTCTTATTTACGTAGCAGTCAGAGTGTGGCTTAAATACAGCCTAAATTTTGAAACCATTTTTCTCTCGTTAAGTTCTTGTAAGACCGGCAGAAGACCGACTCAAAGTAGAGACTGAACTCAACGATGGCCAAGTTCTTGGAAGGTCTAAAATGCCAGCTCAATAAAAATGTCTTCTCAAATGATGAGCGTGTGATCTATGATAAATGAAGGAAAGCCAATATCAGGACCTCGCCGCTAAGACTGTACGGATAACATTTGATATTTGTGCCAATAGAAAAAAACATTGGGGCTGTCTCAGGTGATCGAAAGTGCGTCACATCTGGCACTGTGGCCGGCCAGTTTAAAACGTGATGTGTTGTCTATTTCTCGATTCTCCCTAGGGCTGTGTGGTCAACTTACGTGACTCTGCTGGCTAGATACTGGAAAAGGTGAAAGGGCAGTTGTGTCCAGTTCAGGTTTCTTGCACGGTGTTGGAACTAAGACAAAACGATTTTAACAATCAATACGAATTCTGTCCATTTGGGGAGAGGAAGAGCGTGACAAGCTGTGCTCTGTGGTTCTTTGATGATATTTTGCGAAGCGTTAGTCTGAGTTAATGATTTGAGCTGGAGAAGGAGGGAGAGACGAGCACAAATCCGCCATATTTTGCATCCGTTTCAGCCGCTCAAAGATCTTGTTTGAGATTTTATTCCCAATCCCAAGGATAAACTGAATCCGAGTATGTTTAACCTGGTTAAATCATCTACAGAAGACATACTTCTCTCTATCTCAGCAACGTTTTTTTTCTCTGAATTTTTTTTCTTTAAACGCTCTCTTTCTCAGTCTTTCTCCATCTCTAACTATCTCTAGACCGCTATCTATAAACCGCTTGTCAGTGTGCAAATTCCCAGTGTTCCATCCACTATAGATAGCTATGGAGGTGGTAAAGAAATTGTAGATGGATTGCAGTGGTGTTTCCGATCCTGTAAATTCCCATGGACTTGATCAACATCAGCAGAGACAGAAAGTTTAGACTTGAATTCTCAGTAATACAGTTTAGAACTGTTTGATCAAATGCAATAGGAACGTAATTTAATTTCAGAATGACATCTTACACTGGCCTCTCTGCTTTGACAGTGTGAAGGATAACATAAGAGATACCGAATGAGCGAATCCCTTTTCCTAATGTTGTAAAAGATTTACAAAAGATTTACGACCAATGTAGACATTCGGCAGAATTTGTACTTGTCCAGTCCGGTCTATCACTGTGGATTACTGACTCCTGCGCTTTTCATATCTTGAGAAAGTTATCAACGTTTTGCACTGTGGTCAATTACACTTGCACTGTGGCAATTATATCCATGAAGTCACTTTCTCCCCCCCCCCCCACCCCCCCCGACCAGAGTGTAGGCTGAATAACGTTTTCAAAAACCTTTGAGATATAACTCTGTGTTTGATTCACTTTGTTGATAATGACTTCACATGAGGTGCAGTTTCAATGAATCCTTTTGCTTTCTCCGTGTTTCACTTAATGGTTTGTCCTTTAACTCCTTTTCGATCGATCCAATGCTTCACCAGGGCTCAGTTTTCTCTTTCTCTCTCTCTCTCTCTCTCGCTCTCTTTCTCATTTTGCTGTTTTTTTTACATCATCTCCTCCATTCATCATCCTACCCTATAGACTGTTCTCCTGTGTTGGTTCTGTCATTTTGCACGGAATATCACTGCACAAACCAACATATATTTCAGATTTCTAGGGAGTTTATTATATTTCTGTTCTTATTTGATTAATGGGCTGTTTATCACACAGTCCTTGTGGGGTCCTTCATTTGTTACAATTAGCCAGGCACGGGTAAATGGAACTTAACAGTATTTATTAGAAATACCAATGTTCCAGTGAAATCCAAAACACAAAACAACAACAGGGCTTTGGGATGGCCTGTTTGACTTTAAACTGCCTTTGAAAGACCAGAATCCTACCCTATTTGTTATAGTTTGAGCACAAAGTGATTCCATTTGCATTACCAAAGTCATAAGAATCATCAACAATCCTAATTTGTTATAACACCCCGTCACATCAGGAGAACGTCCCAAAGCGTTTCACAGGATATATTATAAAGTGGAGAGACTGCTTTTTTATTTGTGGGCTAAAAGTATTTCATATGGAGTAGGGTGCTTTCAGCTCCTTGACAGAAAAGCTGCAAAAACACAAGCCTAAATTATATTCAGCTGGAAATTGAGTCAATAGCTAACACCAGATGTAGTCGATGACTCGGGCCTTGCTGTAGGAGACGTGCTTCTCAGGAGCTGGGATGGATGCAACGTGGTGGATTTTCCGTGGCTCGGGAAGCTTGCTGCGAGTGGCGCTTTGCCTGTTGGTGGCTGTAATGGGGGCAGGCAGCGTGTGCACAGTGTGCACAGTGTGCATGGGTTGTGCTTCATGTGTCCAAGTTAACATTCTTTCAAGTGCAAAAAAAAAAATCCACAAACCGGAAATTGCTGTTAATGTTTGCTTTGTTTCTTTGCTTCCCCAGAGTAAATCCCAAAACAAAACCCAGTCTCCACAGGTCTGTATGTTTCCTCAATTTTAACCTAGAATAATAAACCCTTTGTGAAATATCGAATACGATCAATGCAATTATGGTGGTGAGGGTGGTTCAGTGAGTGATGAAACAGTAGTGGGGTGTGAGTTTATTCCCGTGTTAAACTCCAGCAGGGCTCCAGTGCACACTCTGGAGTCAACAAGCCTAGATGCTCAATAGCCTATCCTGCCCTAATAGTTTCCAGAATTAGGCGCACAGGGCAAGTTCCTCCAGGGAGTCGGTGCGCATTCCATTCCAGACACAGATAAATTTCCCATGTGTAAATGCTATGCATTTGTGGGAATCTGTTGGGACAGTCTTAATCACGGCGATGGGTTTCCACATGTGTCAGACACCCGGCTGGAGTTGTGGGAAAGCAGAGAGCAGCAATGAATGTACTTCCCAACAGGGCTGAAAACAGGGCAAATCTGGGCTATTCATGTGCTGCATCTTATTGATTAATAATCTGATATGACTCTGATATGATTAATAATAATAATAATCATCCTTGTGCATGATATGGTGTCTTTCACATTGGGAGGACGTCTCAAAGCGCGACACGCACAGGATTCACTGTAATGTGTAGTGACTGTATTTTGTAAGCGAATGCCACAGCCAATTTGCACACAGCAAGGTGCCACAAACAGCCGTGAAGTGAGTGACCAGTTTTGCCTGGGCCATTGTTGACCAGGACACTGAGAAGTTCTTTTCAAATAGCACCACGGGATCTTTAACATCCACTTGAACAGGTGGACAGGACTTCAATTTAACATCTCATCCAAAGGATGTCCCCTCCAACAATGTAGAGTTGTGCATTAACGCGTCAGCTTAGACTGTGTGAGTTCAAGTTCCCCACAAGCTTCTGACTCAGGCGAGAGCGCTGCCAACTGACCCAGGCTGACACCAAAAAGCACACAGTCTCCACGTATTATATTAAAACAGCCCAAATCAGGCATACAATCCCCTTCAGTGTTTCTGTAAAGTGTGGGCAGGTAACTGCTAACCAGGTCACTGCTATTGCAATGTTCCACTTAGAACTGGAATGTTGCCCACATACTGGTGAGAACGACGCCGTCTAGTTCTTTGAGATTCAAGACCGTGTTCGGGTCAGGGTTTAGCTGGCGTGAGCTGAGGGAATAACTTTGCCTCCATTTCAGTTGAAACGTATTGAGGTTTCAGACAACTGGCAAATAACGCCAGGTGTCAAACTGGGATGTTTTAACTTTTTATAGAATTTATATAGTTTTTATAGAATTTTTATAGTTTTAACCCTGGAATCAAATCCTGTATTGTTGTCACTGTTCACTTTAGTTAGATTTTTTTTTTTTACTTTGAGTTTTGAACTGATTGCTTATTGATTTGATTGTCTGCACTTTCCAGCCCTCTGGATCCGAGCCCCAGCTCACCACTTTCACCCTCGTTGCCCATGATTTCAGCACCTTCGAGTCCAGTTCCCGTTTCCTCAACCTCCAATGACTCCTCCCCTCTCAGGTGCAGTACTCATTTATTCTGTTTGTTTGATATGAAACCTCGTTGCTTTCTTTCCCTCTTATTTTCCTCTTTTAGCGAATAACATCTTGGGATACAGTATATAATAATGATAATAACCCTTGCATTTGATATAACACGTTACACTTTATCACGGTCTTCGAGACGTCTCAGAGCGCTTCACAGAATACAGTGTAAAGTGAATTGACTGGTTATTTGAGGGCGAAATGCAGCAGCCAATTGCACACAGCATTGTCCCGCACACAGTCGTTCGGGACATAATATGGGCAAGCGACTGCCAGGGTGGTGGAAGGTGAACTGGATGGACCTCGGTCTTCTTTTGTCGAGCAAATTCTTATGTCGGTGTAGAGAGATGAAAACAAATTCCTCCCACCAGCCTTTCTCACTCAGATACTTGTCTCGCTCAGATTGTCAAATGAGTTTCTGTTTGAATTTGCACGGATATTTTCTCGTAGAAAAATGCTTTCTTGGCTGTTGACTTGACATTAATTGATGAATCAGATTTAGGAATTTGGATACCATTACATTGGCATTTTTGGTCACTTTACAATCGCACTTTTGTGGCCATTTATGGTAAATCCACTTCTACAGTGTAATAAACTGCTAGCAATTGTTTTTTGTTTACATTTCACAGTATCTTAACTATATAATACATATTTCCCCATTCCCCCCCCAACACGCGCACACGCGTGTGTATTCAATGTGTCGTCAACTGTCCAGATTTTGGACATCGCCCCCTCCCAATTTTGGGCACATATTGAAATCTCACTGTAATCTACAGAACACCTTCATGTATATGGGAAAGCCAAAGAAAATAGTAAATTAAAGCTACTAATGAGGATTCAACATGACACCGTTGAAAAATTAAGGAGTCCTGTGGCTCAGTGGTTAGAGCACTCGCCTTGCAAGCCGGAGACCTGGGTTCGAGTCCCAGCAGGACAAAACCCTGGGCAAGCTTCCTTACTCCACACGCCTGATAATAATCCCTCAAGAAAAAAAAATTGGTCACTCAATCCACGACTGTTTGTAGTACACTGTTGTGCACAATTGTCTGCCGCCTTTTACCCGCAAATATACGGTCAATTCACTTTACAGTTTATTCTGTAAAGCGCTTTGAGACGTCTCTATAAATGGAATAAATGGAATCTTGTTGTTGTTGTCTCGCAGAAGTGAGAAAGCGCTATATTAAATGCAAGGATTATTTATTTATAAAATGAAACTAAAAATTAAGTGGATCATAAAAGTACTATTTTGTACAATTAAGTTACCTGGACACGTATCGAAAAGCTAAGGTTTTCTTTAAGGCTGATCCGCACAACCTTTTGCTTTTACAGTCCCCCAGGTCGCAAAGCTCGATCCTTGTACGCCTGCAAAGCAGAACACGAGTCTGAATTGTCCTTCAGTGCGGGAACCATGTTCGAGAATGGTAAGTGAAAAGTCATATCATATCCTCTTCCAATGCATTTTACCAACATGTTTGAGAACTCCTGAGACACTCATAATCCTCAAATAATCCTTAGATTTGTTATGGCGCCTTTCATGTCCGACAGACATCTCAAAGCACTGCACAGGATGTACTGTAAAGTGAAGCGACTGTGTACTGTGTAGCAACCATGGCAGCCAATTTGCATTCACCCTACTTCAATCCTTTTACTTCTATTAAGTATTAGCAGAGTCAAGGAACTAAATCTCTAGGAATGTAGAGATTAATTGGGGAAGTGGAGGGTTAATGTCTAAATTGGTTTAAGGCACATTTTGGGGGAATCTTTCTCACAGATGCAAACAAAAAGTGGAAGCAAACGTTTGTCTGAAAGCAAATCTTATTCCTTTTCTATCCTCGGAACTAACTATTGGTTTGTGTATTTCTTAGTTCATCCATCCCGGGAGCCCGGTTGGCTTGAAGGAACACTGGATGGGAAGACTGGATTGATCCCGGAAAACTATGTGGAGTTTCTATAGCCAAAGGGACGTAGCATTCCAGCTGGACATTACATGGTATCCATGGCATTCATGTGGACATCACGCAGATTGTAATTTTTGGCGTATTCCCTCTGTAGCAGAGATGCAATGGGGACATATCTGTGAACTGGACATAGATGATTAATTTCAGGCCTAATTTTTACTGCCTTGCAGTGTTAGAGCGACGCGATTCATTAATTTATCAGCCCAGAGTCTGTAATTATTTCTTAAGGACTTTGATTTTAGTCCACGCTCTTCGTGATTTCTCGAATGGATGTGTGTTTTATTGTTGCCGGATTTTAACCTGTATATAATGGGGGGGAGATTGAATCTGCACAGTTACTGGATATCTTGGAATGCTTGGAGATGTATGATGCATTTAGAGCGCTAATATGGAGCTTTCCTGTTGGGTAAGGATCACCTTTCTGTTGGCTGCTGCTTTCCAAAAGAACCTTGAGCTGCCACATTGGTATTGACCATTCTCTCCCTTCAGCCAGTGACCGACTGGTTTCTTGCTGAGGCTTCTCCCTCTTGCAGTCACACAACTGGATTGTAGAATTTCGCTGGTGCATTGGCTTAGACACAGGATGAGAAAAAGGTTCAGATCAAATGCCCACGTTTTTATCCCGATGATGAACATTTGATTATTTTTCTATTTTGATTATCTAGCTAGGAAGCGATGCTGTTTTTATTTTCTCAAGATAAGTGTGACTTGATGGCATTTTGCTTGCGTGAGATATTTGTTTACATGAATGTGAATGGGCCTCTAGTTACCCAGCAGAATGGGACTGTTACCAGATGAATGACTGTGCTGTCAGTTGAGATGTTCTTTTATTTTACAATTGACGAATCAGCCGGGACTCTCGTGTTTAAAAATCCTTCCAGTGGCCGCCAGAGCCAAGCTAAGCAAATGACTTGTTCCGTGTTCCTCCACAGGTAAAGCATTTCTTACTCCTGTGCTGACTTGACTTCAAATAAATAAAAACTGATCTTATCCCACACAATAGTCACGCAAGCTGATTTGAAACCGCTCGTAAAATCAGGGGACGATGAATTACAGACGTAGTAAATTGCAGCCAGAGTTTAGTACCAGGTGTTTCCGGGAAACAGATTGTAGCTGTTGTGAAGGATTCTGAACTGATGGTTGCTTTAATGGTGTCTCTGGAACAGTCGACAATGGACCTGTGAGGTTAAAAATAAACCCAAACTGGATGTTTTGAAGATTTGAAAATAAAACCACTGGAAAACCACAACAGGTCAATCAGCATTGAACGAGAAAGACAGGTTAACAGTTAACAATCCTTCAGCAGAGCTAACTGTGGGCCGGCCACGTGGCCGGTTTGGGTGCTTTAACATTCTATGATGTAATTTAACAGGCTGACAGCACCATAAAGCAGGCTTTTTAAAGGAGGAAGTCACACTGTGCGGTCGGTGTAAGTATGGAACAGGAAGAAAGGATTGAGAAAATGTGAGGGAAGGAGAGTGTTCATGGTGGAAACCTGTATGTATGTCACGCCACCTGTTAATTTTCCTACATTGGAAGAGCGAAATGCACATTTAGAAGAATTTTTGCTTTTTTAAAAAAAATATATAAAAATATTTTTTTTCCTCAAAGGATCTGATGTTTGGGGTAGTTGGGGAGGTTGCCAAGCCTCGCTTTATGATTCCTTGGTTAAACCTTAATATCCAAGTGGAAAATCTGGTCCAGACTGAGAGACCAGAGTTACATTTATATGATTTTTATGCCAGTGAATGCCTTCCTTGTGGCACCTCATAAATTTCAGATATAAACTGCAGCTTTACAGCAACCTCACCTGCTCAAAGTAATGACTATTTTCATTTTAGGAGCTGTGTTGGACTTTACATTGATTGTATTTACCTTTGGCTGTTAATAATTAAACTGCATTTTGAGTACATTTAAAGACCGCAGAGTATGATTTAATAAAGTGAATGAACTAAGATCTTGGCATCTTCTCAGTGCCAATACTTGACTTTTATTAATGCAACTATTGTATAGTGTACATCCACTGGTGAAGGGATTGGGTGGGAAATGTTTGGTCAAGATTTGACGCCTGCTTAAGTAGTTTTGAGAAGTTGGATTACTTTGGTGGGCTACCGTCCAAATAGGACAAGAGCACTAAACTTGTCAGTTTAATACAGTCATAGTATGAATTTAAGCTTTGTTTTGCTCTCTGGTGATGCAAAACATATGGGGCAACTGCAGTTTATTATTTTGAGTGGTTGCAGTATGAATTGATTTATCAAATGGAGCAGGAGACCAGTTTGAAGGGGAAGTTTCACTGCTCCAGCCCCACACAGGTTCCAAAATTGCATTCATTTTATCCCATTAAAACAAAAATAGAATGTTAGTTGGTGTTTTAGCCTTTACTGCCCTGCTTGATAACCTTTTCCAGTTGTTAATAACCTCAAGGTAAATAACTATTTCCTGGGCTCTGTTCTGAATCAAGTTGTTATCCTGCTGCTGTACAAATGAAAGTTGAAATTGCACTTTGTAACCCTAAGCCCGTCTCCTCCTGTTCGGCTGGACTGGTGCATCTGTAAGTATGGTTCTGCTTTCCTTTCTCAATCCCACTTAAAATGTTACATAAGATCCACTCTGAAACATCGCTTTTCAAGACTGAAGAGTCCAAGCGTGTCTAATCATTGCTCATACAGCGATACGTTCATTCCTCTATTACTGGGATCAACTTTATTGCTCACTTCTGCAGTACCTCTAGGGCTCGGGCTGAACTTGTACGCTGTGGCAATCAATCTTGTGCACAGTGGGAATAGTTGCAGCCTGACCAGAATGTTACACAGTTTGATTTCTGAACTCAACTGATTTGGGAATATAGCCCTGGATGCCTTGTTTACTGCAGTTTTGAACTGGTGAGCGATGATGAGTTCAATGACCCTCCATCTCTTTCAGCTTTCCCAAGGACAAGTGCTACAATAACAAACTAATTGCATTTACCTTTCACAACGGGAGGACATCCCAAGGTACGGGATAGTCAACGGTTTGCACCTGAGCTCGGGGCTGGATTCAGGAAAGGTGGGTGGGAGACACTAAGGGGAAGGTCTTAAGATGGATGTTGCAAAGGTCCTTCCCTTAACTCGAGGTAGTCATTAAATATGTTTGCAGTTTCTTCTTCATTATTTTAACTCCACCTTTGTTTTCGCTGACTAATCTCTTACTGTTGTATTGAGAATATTCTGGCAGGATGTTTTTCCAGTTCTCTTGGCTCCTCTCATTTCTTTTTAAAACCCTTCAGCAGTCCTCACCCTCACCTATAATTCTCTTTATGTCGGCACAATTTTTCCCCAATATTTTTTCTCATTGATCAATTACAGAGTGTCTGTTAAATTTTGTTCTCGGACATGTGTTTGCCCTTACAGACTCTGCATAATGTTTTAGAAAGATGTCTTGAGTTCAGTTCTCTGAGCCAGAACCGTTGTGCAATTGCAGTTGAAGCCACCCAAGAAACTGACGTTACAACTGATTGAACGTTTTACTGGTTGCGAATCACGAGAACATTGAAATTGAAGCCAGAAGCAGACGATTTTCTGGAAATAGAAAGTATCTGCATGATATAGTCAAACAAAGCTTGACATTGCTAACTGGGACTCCAAACTGACTGAGCTTCACAAAGTGAAAGGAGGGGACAATTTACAATATTGTGGTGAGGTCAGGGCTTCAATACTAAGTGCTCCTTTAATATTCTTCATAAGATTACTTGATTTGCCTCTGACCTCTCCACAAATGAATATAGAAACTTTCTATACAACAACCAACTATAAATACACAGGTTTATTTTTGTCGAAAGTACAGCTTCATTGGCCGGCACATTACCAAGCAAGCTTGATATGTATGTAGGTCTGTAAAACTTGATACTGCTCCATATTCAGTAATAGGATGAAAGTGCTTAAAATACCTGTATACGGTCACTTCTTGGCTGTGGTGGGAAAATAAATGTTGCTCCAATTCACTGTCTCTGAAAGCTTCTCAAAGCCATTATGAAGAACATCAAGATGTTTAGCACATCACAAGTTGTCCTGTATAGGTCCTTCCACCGTACTGCAGGCAGCTGAGAAATCCATTCATACAGTTAATGAAGAAACAATGAGTTCCGGGGGCCACAGCTGGAGGGGTTTCCTGGACTCCAGATTTGTGAACACATCTGGGGCTCAGTATCTGCCTTATTCAGCAGAGGGATAAGTAGTTGTGACTGCACTTCCCACAGATGATAATGATAATACTTGCATTTGATATGGCATCTTATCATGTCATTGAGATGTCTCAAAACGCTTCGCAGAGTATACTGTAAAGTGAATTGACTATAGTTTTGTGGTTAAATCATTGCTCTTAGGATCTGTGGCCAAGCTCCAGGCAGGAAGCTGGTGGCACTGCTCAGATTCCATGCTGAGTCTGCTGCGTAACCAAAGGCTCGGCTCGTGAGGAGTTCCTGTTACCTGCTCGTCAACTACCCAGAGTTTAAACTGCGTGTTAGATGTCTAATGACCAACTAATGACTATCTTATGGGAGCGGGTTTAGCAGGTAAAGCCTCGTCTTCTTGAAGCTGAACTAACTTGTGTAATAAGCCCGCAAACCTAGAGGGTCCACAATACTCCCAACCATTGATGACAAAACAGCCAGCCTGGCTCATGTACTTGGGAGGAACAGACAAGTCACTGGGGCAAGAATTCTTCCTTCTCTGATCCCATTAACATTGCAAACGAAAGCCCTAATGGGTAGAGAGGTCTTAGCAGGACAAGCAGCAGATCGCTTGCCAGACAGTTCTTAAGCACGATGATGGGTTTCCTCGTTTGCAAGTCCAAAAAATAACGTCATTTAAAATGTTTTTTTTGAAAAACGATTGCAGACAATTAATGGAAAAGCAGATTTATTGACCGATTTCTGTCCATTATCAGCACTGTTGAAGGCAGTTCACAATTACTGGACTTAAATGCTTGTACAACAATGCAAATTATATTTGTAACATCATATGTAAATGAGTAAATTGTGTCATTTTGAGAAGTACCAAACAGATCTACCAGCTCAATACATAATTAAGAAAGAATGGAAGCAGGAGCCTGTAAATTATTCTATAGAAGCAACAGAATGAGACAGATTTGACGGAAGAATTTCCCAATTTTTCAGGATTTAAAAAAAAATTAAAGACATCTTAAGAAAAGCCACAAGCCAATCTGATCCAGGACTTATCTGGATAGTAAAACGGCGCAACTCATTGTACAAACATAGGCCTGTTGTTGCTCAGAGAGACGATGGAGTTATATAGGTTCTGAAAAGTTTTGGGTGGGTGGATTAAGTTTTCCATAAAGTCTCCAAAATATCGATTCCTTTTGTTGCTCCTATCCTGGCACCTATGACCTTCCTGCATTTGTTCAGTCCCCCCCCCCCCCACCTTTGTGTTTGTTCAATCCCCCCTTCCCACCCCGTGATTTGCTTTTTTTTAAAAAATACATCTACGCAAATATTCAAGAATTAACTATTACACATGATCCTGTGCAAAAACCTATGCAAGCAAATCCCTCTGAAGTAATAGGGCTACATCTGATTGTCTTGTCTTTACAATAAAAAATACATACATTCAAATTAGAGACACCATCGTTTTGAAACGTAGTTCCAAGCTGGTGTCTTTACATGGATGCAAGTTCATAAAACGCTCCCCCCACCCTCCCCCAAAAATCTAAATACCTGTCAAACGTTAACATTCTTAGGATCAGTAGCTCACAACTCTACCTTCTTTATAATCAATCACTTTTTCTAAAAAAAATGTCATTTGCGATGTTTTTAAATATCTTTATTTGACTTCCCCAAAAGTGACATGTTTTGAAGGGCTCACTTAATATGGCACCATCACATTCAATTAAATTTAATCTAATATTAAAAGGGATACGGTGAGGGATATTTACATGCCAACAAAACGGCTACTAAAATAATACTGTCAATTTAAGAGACTTTAGTGTATGAATTTAGGGTGGTGCTTTTCTTAAACGTTCTTCTCCCTGTAAATCTAATCAAGATAAATCATTGATAACTCATTTAACAAACCATAGGATTGAGTGTCAACCACTGCACCCAAAGGCCACAATAGGTGTGATTTATTTAGAGAATAAAGTGAATTAAGAAACATGCTCCTCTATTATTCTAACTGCATGATAATTACCTTTCACAATTTACAAAATGTACTTTTTGTAATGGGTACACACGAGGCAGCTTGGCTCAGACACTGGTTATGGCTTGTATTTGTGTTGGATAGAATCACCTCAGCATAATAAATCCTAGAGTTTCACTTCTATCTTTAAAGGGCACCGTTGTCTGCAAAATGTCTTCTGAAAACATATTGCAGGCACTTACTTTACTAGAGACACATGCAGCACTGTTGGCACACTGTCAAACCTTGTTTTCTGAGGGCATAGCTCATTTGCTGCATCATAGCAATGGATTCAGAACCATGTACGAATAGACAACTGAAAATGGAAACTGAAAATTTTAGAAACTATTCCCCCCCCCAACCAAAAAAGGTAATTAACTCTGATAATAATAAAACATATCTTGTTCCACTTGTTTTATGTGCACTCATCTATAGCTTCGGCATCAAGCTCGATCTTCTAGGTTAGAAGATTGGCCATGATCTTATTAAATGGCAGGGCAGGCTTGAGGGGCCGAATGGCTCCTACTTCTTATGATCAGATCTATCAAAGGCGGGCAACTACGAAATTCAATCCTGAAAGAGTCTGGGCATCATCGAGAAATTGTAAATAATTCCTTTAGTACAACGTCACCAGTGATATAGAAACTCTGTTTGCACCTTCAGTGGACAATTCCACTTTTCGAAAGGCAACTATCAAAATTGTTGCATTCAACCTTTCCCCAAAACATGAAAATGTATTAATTCTAAGATTCAGTGGGTCATGAAGTAAATATTTGATAAGTCTCAATGTCTGTGAGAGGTAGGAATAGGCTCAACTTTGCTTCAGAAACGTGCACTGACACTGCTTTTAAGCGTTAAGCACATGAAACACACTTGCATCTATTCCAGTACACAAAAGCCTTTTATAAAGTTGACTTTGGGAGTTCTTTCTCAGGCGACACCCTTGTTAAGCAAGGGACTATTAAGCAAAGAGGATTGAGAGTTTTCCTATTGAAAAAGAAGCATAAAGCAATGTGCATGAAGTAGCTGAAAATCAGAACTGTCACAAACTAGTTGCAGACTAACTGTACATGAAACCTGTTCATGAAATTACATAAATACATATACTCTGTGTTGTATACCTAATTGTAAGAATTGGATCTTATATGTATTTACGAACAAACTCTATTCGGTGTTTTGCACCAGAGTTACGAGCTCGATGAGTGCCTCTAGAATAGAAATGGGCCTCGATGAAAAACAAAATCGATCACTATCTGTAGCTGCAGAGCTATGTATGGCACAAAGTTTATTTGTATTTAGGTTTAAAAAAAATACTTCCCCGTCAATGAAAAATCTTTTATCAAATGGGACCAGCCCATTTTAAATATATCTTTTGTTAAAAAAGGCCCATTGAAAAATAAAACTCCCCTCTCACGCTTCTTACAGAGCTGATTAACACTGCAGGCACAAGCCATATTTCCAGGGGTGTTTAGTTGTTCATTAAGATTTCTGACCACAGTGATGCTGGAAAAGCAATTCAACACCATGAAAGAATCTGGGGCCTTGTGCCAACAATCAACTCCAATTTAAAATCATGCTCCACATCTAAAAGACCAGTTACTTTTAAGCATTTTTTTAAAAAAATTCTCCAGTACATTACATAGAAATTAAGATCTAGCCATGTTTCCTTCTCCCCAGAAAGTAATAAAAACCAGACAAGGGTAAAAGCTTTTGGGATTATTATTGAGGAATCCGTTGCTAAAACCACCCCAATTTCTTGAAGTGAAGAAAAACAATTTAGCCGCAAAATACAGTCGGTTTTCCAAGTGGCGATAGGCTCAGAACTTGAGTTTCCTTGAATTGTCGACATTATTGGACTTTGATATCCACCGTGACTCACATTTGGCAGAAGGGAAATGGGTCGTTGACAAAAGCCTCGAAAAGTGCATTGGATGCATATGTATCCGTCCCCACACCCCACCTGTTCTAGTTCTACATGGAGGGGGGGGGGGGGAGAGAGAAAAGGAGGGTAAAAGCATCCGTGGTATTATTTTGCCCCCCAAAACAAGAGAACACAATCAGTTTACTTCAAATGCTAATTTGGGGGCGAGGATGAAATGTAAGCTTTGAAAAAAGGTTCGAGTCCCTAAGCATGGATATATCCTAGGAAACGCATGCCTTTAGGTACATATCAAACACACCTTCCTCCTGCATTACATCTGACATCCAATAATCTACTGATTGCACTTCCACCTCCTAGTTTAGTAGCACCATGAAACTCAAACACGCTTAAAGGTGGGAGATATTGGGGAGGGCAATAATCAACAGAATAAATTGAAAAGCAGTAAATTTGCATCACGGAGCAAGCTTCCTGCACACTAATGTGGAAATTGTTATTGTGGGATTACCTCAAATAGATCAAATACGTCAGTGCAAATTATTTAGATATAATTCATACATCAGATCTGCCAGTGGCTGTTTCACCAAAGTGTGGGGCTAAAGTTTATAATATCAATCGGATTAAAAGGACAATGTTTGTGTTTACATTGGCAAAATAAAATTCAAATAAATTAATTGTTGGAAGGTGAAGTTACAATAGGATCGAACTTCTGTTCCATGAACTGCCACAAAAAGGTTTGGATAGCACTGCTGTCATTTTAGTTGCTGGATTCCAGTTTCTTAGTGTTAGGCTCAGAAAGGTTTCAAAAGGTATTTTCTAATTGAGGTCATGGAACCTGATTTAACAAAAAGGTGATATTCACCCGCTGAACGGCTCGGTCCTTTCACTATACCTCCATTTGAACGTGAAATGGCATTGCACATGTGATTTACAAAAGACAACATGCAGCAGGAAGCCAAAGAGGCCAAGGAGGCGAAGGACCAGTGCAAATATAGCAAACGACGCCATGCGCTTCAAACTATTGATTTGACCCCTGTCAAATCTGACAGCAGGACAGATGATGGCCCACAAATCAACACAAGATGATTAATTGTACTGTATCCCTCTGAAATAGGGTATTTAATGATGTTTGTGATGCAAACAATTTGGAGGGCTCCTGCCACCACCAGGTCCTGTTAACATTGCACACGCTTTAGAATTGGATGAAGGTGTGTTTGTGCTCAGCATTGTGAAGTTCTATAGCGAACAAAGGTTCTGTTAACAAAACCTTACACATTTGTGTCTTTCAGCTTCCCCAATGCCACCCCAACCCAGCCTAACTGGCAGCCAAGCCAACAGAGTCTCTGTGCAATCCTTGAATTGCAATTTATCCTTCATTCTGTATGAAAAGATGAGGAAAAAGAGGAAGGATGTTGGTGACCTCCCCCCACCCCCCAACAAACCCTACACTGTATCCAGCACTGCATCTGCACAGCGCATCCCAGATCAAGGCACCTCAGGGGTAAGGTAGGTAACGAAACAGCATGTGCTGGAGTGCACTGCAGAGGTGAGGAGGCATGCGGGTGAGAAATATTGAATATCAAGGCACCTTTATAACAACAAACAACAAGATTACATTTGTATAAAGCGGTTGTTTTAACGTACAGTGGTAATATATCCCTGGTGTGAAACGGCAAGAGCCTTGACTTCTCCACCTATCCCTCTAACTTAGAAGCTACACACCTCCAAAGGTCATGCTCTTTTTCCCTGTCAGGAATGTATGGGATGCACTGAATCTGTCTACAACAATAACTTGTATTAATTTAGCTCCATTCAAGCGAGGTAGCTTCTCAGAGCTCTCATGTTTCCTGATGACGAGCCAGGGGAAAGGTGACCGTAAGCACTGTTGAAGAGGAAGGAAGGTCTTCACACATGATCTGAAAATGAGGAATTGGGGGGGGAGCAATGTGGAGGGATTCAGGGAGAGAGTTCCAAAGTTTTGCGGCATAGTGGCTGAAAGCACGGCCTGCGATGGTGGAACAGAGGAGACGAGGGACGAAGAGGAGGTTGGAGTCAGCTGTGCGGAGGCAGTAGGTGGGTGGAGTGGGGAGTAAGCAGGTCAGAAAGATTGGGAGGTGCCAGGGTGTGCAGGGATTTGTAGATAAGTGGGAGGAACGTGAAGTCGATCCATTCTGTGACAGGGAGCCAGCAGAGCCTGGCGAGGACTGGTGTGATGAGGGTACAGAGTTTAAAGCAGGTGAGCCTATGGACAGTGGAGTTCTGAATTGGTGGGATTCTTTGGATAGTGGAGCGATAAGGGCTTTTAAATTATTTAGGGAGGTGACAAAAGCATGGACATGGAATTTGGCTGCATTGGGTGTGAGCTAGATATAGTGAGCTCTCAAGGGATTGAATACGTTGGTTGGATGTTCTAGGAAGAAGACACATAGCTGTAGTATCTTCATGGTAGGCACATTGTTAAACATGCACATAAAATTTGTTTCCCATATAAAAACCCCAAACTGTCGTCTTCAGGAGCATGGTTTTACTTAATATTTCAACATGTGTATTATTACTTTGGTCTACATTAGCCTGTGATGCTACCAGAAATATGGTTCGCACCATTTTTTGTTGTTGTTGATTTAAGAAAAATCATTGATGGGAACAAGCAGTGTGTATCTTTTAAAACATCGAGCAAATAAACACACTGATGAGGGTCGGGATATGATGTAGTTGCTTGACAAGTGATATTATCTAGAGACCTAAGGAAAATTACATAATAGCAAACAAGAGGGCTTGAAAGCTCATATATACAAGAAGTTGTTTCAACCATAAGCTGTTGGAAGTGGCTTAATAAACAATGAGGTCTGAGGGCTTCCCATCTTACAAAAGTACTTAACCCTGACAGGTGTCACACTGACATCTATGTTCAGATTAATTACTTCTTACCAGGTCATGGGCTTGTGCCCAAAGTCACCAGCCCGAGTTCAATAGGAGAGAAACACTGAACATGTTTTGTCCCATTTGCTGCACTTAAATTACACTTGATTATAAAATAACATCAGTGGCAGCGAGATTCACAGCTTTGATGGGTTATCCGTCTTGACCTGAAACACAGGTGGTACCAAGACATTTGTGTGGGGGAGGGAAGAAAAATGTACAATATGTTTTAGCTTATTGATACTGTATGATTTGCTTCTGAAGCACTCAGTGGTTCCGCTACTCGTGGATGTGTCACCACTGTATGCGTTTTTCACCATCACTTTACCTCTTACCACTGTTGACAAAAGTGGAATTCCATTCCCAAATAATATTTTCTGACAATATATCCCACAGTGCATACCAGAGAACAGCATGGATACAACAAACAGATCGACCAAAAATGTACTGAATAATATGTAGATTGCAATTAGATCTATATGTCCAAGTTTAAAAAATAAATCTTTTTTTGCCAGAATAAAACCTATTCGACACTATACTGATCATTTCAAACTCTACAATATGGTTATACCAAGGAATGCATCCGTGCCATTGAAGCCGAAGGCATTTTCCTAAATAATATCCTGGAACTTGTTATAGAAACTGTGCTTGCTCCATTATGGAGCATGGCTAAACATCTGATAGTGAACATGAACCAATGGCCATATGAAGTAAAAAGGTGTAGGTACCTACTGAGAACGCAATTTCTAGAAACTGCTCATCCCTTCGCAAGTGGCAAATATTACATCCCTCTAACCAACACAATCTCAGGTTGTGGGCTCCTACAGGTGACATACATTATCCAGAATCTTCTCAAATAAAATTATTTCTAGAATTTGTCCCCTCCTGGCTCCCCCTCATTCTAGATTTTCAGGCAAGTTCAAATCCCATTTGTTCATCTGTAAATGATCAGTCTCCCTCCAAAAGAGCCACTTTCTCGAATATTTACACGAGAGCAGTGAGCGAACTCAAGCGTACAACACAGAATTCATTGATGGCTGTAAAGAAAATCTCTTACACCAGGCTCAAATTTCACTTAATATATATATATATTAAAAAAACAGATAAGAGGAAAATGAGCGAATTAGCAATTCTCCTGCATTTAACAATAAAATGTCCAAATTGGCTAGATTAGACTTTGAAAGCTAAAAAGGCACAATTTTCCCTTTGCCGATATACACTGTAAACTTCTCATTAGAATGCATGCATAAAATCAAAATCTGTATCACAATACACAAAAATAAAAGGTCACTGAAACAAAAACACATGCAGATTTCTGCCACTTACAATTTTTTTTTCCAATGCACAGTTCTTAGGCTGTGAATCTTTTAACATTTCCTTTTTGCCTCAGCCCAGGTGCCTGACCCTCTCTGTAAACCATATGTAGTGCATATGACATAATTGTAAGCGTTTGCCAAGACAAACATTTCTAAAATCCCAATCACTTTGTGAAAAGAAAAGCTATGCAGGATAATTTTTAAGGCAATTTTTTTTCCCCCCGGTGTAAGGCCGTCACTTCTGGTGAAACCGGAGCGGTTTGGCCATTCCCGCCATGACTTTGGGCAACTGATTGCTGATAATTTCCACCAACATTTCAGGAAACTCCACGCTCAGAGTCTTGGATTCCATGAAGGTATAGAAACAGAACTGCAACAACCCGCCAACCAGCTGAGGAGGAAAATAAAAACATTAGTGAAACAGCTCGTCCTCAGTAAGAAAAGATTCAATACAATGAACTCCTGATGAGTCGTCACTTGTCAGTCAGCAGGACATGGAGGGTGCAAACAAATCATTCTTCCTACTTGGCTCCTGTTAACCCTAGAAGCCAAAGACCCAACAGATAGAATGATCCTAGCAGGACAAGCAGAGGGAAGTTTACCAGACGGTGTTGGCAATGGCAAGCTGCATGGTTTTAGCTGGTTAAACATGACCAAGCTATCCCAAAGCTCGAGCTGGGGTCCCCTTGCAACCTGTACACAATACATTTTGGGATTAGGATTAGCAGGGTGCACATTAGGTGGAATTAAGTGCACATTCCATTCCACACAAAGGGAAATTTCTATGCACAAGTATAATTGAGTGGGGTAGTGTGATACTCTGAAGCAAGGCCATGGGTTTCCGTGTGTCGGACACCCACCGAAAGAATATGTCTAGTATTATACTCACATCATGCATTGAATCCATCAGTTTGGTCAGTTGATAAAAGCGTTGCCAGTTTTGACTCGCATTTCCCTCTCTCTTCACTATGGCTTTTCCCAACTCCTTAATGAAGCAGGTTCGAATTTCATCAAATGCAGCCTGGCTCTTCAAGCCGTCCAACGGTACTACATCAAAAATAAACATAATTTTATACAGATCAGGCAATTAAACAACTTGCATTTATATAGCGCCCTCAGGTAGAAGGGTAGAATCCCAGAGCGCTTGACAATGGCCAAAGAGGAACGTCTTCAGGCGTGACCTGAAGAAGGAGGGGGCAAGGTGGAGGGATAGAGGAAGAGTGTTCCAGAGTTTCAGGGCACAGTGGCTGAAAGCGCGGCGAGCCAGTCGAATGGAGGCACCAAAAATGTTTGCTTAAACAAAGAGAAAACTGTCCTCAAACATTCCTAGTCAAAGGGTACTTACCTGTACTGAGCAAAAGTAAAGTCTTCATGCATAGAAATTCTTCATAAGAAACCTGTAAGTTTCTGAACTCTATTGAGATGCTGTGCATCCCTTTGCAGAGTTCATACATTGATGATTGCTGCATCCTGTCCCTGTTATAGAAGGCAAAACAGAAAACACATCAGCCTTTGAGGATCCTCTACATATAAATCTTCACAAGTATTCTTGAAAGTATTTTGATTCAATTTTTTCCCCAAATGAACCACCTCCTTTCAGATCCCTCCACTGAGCTGGTAATGAAAACGAGTATTATTGTGTGTAATCATTGCAGAGCAGTATGAAGGCCAGCCCACAACCACACAAAGAGCAGCCAGCAAAATCCCTCACTGTCTGGAAATATTACATCCAACTCACATTAGTTGATATTTCTTACTGCAAACCTATACTTTAGTTGCAAGAAACCGGTCATCAGTTGAAATACAAGACCCAGAACTACTGTTGTCAACTAATGGAAACTTGAGTTCTTGGAAATGTCACGAAGTGGATTTAAACTCAATGACATGAGAAAACCTGTGACTTTCTTTACATAATGAGACGCAAAGAAGGCAATAGTTTTTCTGGAAAACACATTCTACCACTAAAAATAAGTGATACTTAAATGGACTACTGATCTATTGATATAGTACCTTACTACTGATTGGTCATTTAACCACTATTCAGGTGGTTGTAAGAAATTATTCAGGTGAGTCCATGCAAATGAATCATCATTAAACAAGTTCTTATACACAGGAAGCAATAACACTTCATATTCCATCTCCGAGAGATGTAGGTTCAGACTATTCAGAAACAATGATGAAATAAACTCAGATGACAGTCAAGGTAAAAAGGTATTGATGTAATACTTACTCATTCAAGATTAGATCTGGTGCAAAGAAGAGCATGTTGCTGTTGGTGTATTGGTAGGATCTCCAACCAAGGCTGAAAACCATCAGTGACATCCAGGAATACTGCAGCAACATCATTTGGTCATCAAGATGCAAGTTTTGAAATCCTGTGGAAAAACGTCAATAATAATAATCATTCTTGCATTTGATATAGCACCTTATCACGTCTTCGAGACGTCTCAAAGCGCATAGCCGTAGTAACTGAATAAGGTTTGAAGCTTTGACCTCTCTCTTCCTCATTCTTTGACTGAACAGTTCACCTTCCTGTACAGATGATATTGCCAATATACCCAATGGGTTTAGACAGGAGTCAGATGAGCACAGACAACATAGAAACAGGAGTAGATCATTCAGCCCCTTGAGCCCTTTCTGCCATTCAGTAAGATCATGGCTGACCTGTACCTCAAGTCCAATTACCCATCGTTGCCCCGTATCCCTTAATACATTATCACTTTAAGAACTTTATTGCAGGTAAGATAACTTTTACCCACTCCACTCCACTCAAAGCCTTGCTCTGGGTTGCGTCATTAGAGCTTGATGTCGCAGCCCAGAGATGCCACTGCTAATTCACATTTTGTGCTACGTGTTATTCAAAGTTAACTTGTGAAATGACCATCTGCCCTTTTTTGGGATGGTGTGTGGGAAGGAAAGGTAAGCAGGGTCTTCTTGGAGCTGAGCTGGGTCTAAGATGCTGTGCTTGACAAGAATATGTCGGAATTCACTTGTTTGCAAGTCCAAAACAATGGGCAGGAGGAACTTCTTTGCGCAGAGCTGGTGAGAACGTGAAACTTACGCCTGGTGAAGCAGAAAGCATCTGTACTTAAAAGCAAACTTGATGTATAAATGAGAGAAAATAAAACAGTGACAAGGGAATGGGGATTAGAAGAGACGGAGGGTCACATAAAGTATAAATATGGATGGTTGGGCCAAAAAGGGCTGTTTCCATTGTGTAATTAAGTAATTCTATATACAACTAATGCATCAATCCGCAAATCATAGATAATCCATTTGCCCACAAAATAGGCATTACAGTTTACTGAAGGAAAGTGGTACAGCTTTAATTTTAAAACCAAGGTTTCAAAGTTGGAACAACATGGTGCTTGCCAAGCACCCATCAGGATAACCTACACAAAAGAAAATGAACTTGGATTTCAAAATTTCTTTACTGGAAGCTTTTTAGCAACCTCTTTCGTTTGTTTTTATACAGCTTGTAATCACGCCCAACGCTCAGCTGCTTTACCTGGTATAGTTTTTGCCCACTTCACAGCTGAGATCATCTGCCGACCGCCTAACGTGTTCAGTCCACTCAAAAGCCGATGAGGCGTGTCAGGGATCGTGCTGTCATAGCTTGCATATATTACATCGGGTTCAATTCCTTCGAGGATTGAGATCATGGCAGGAGTCAGTAATGAAGAAACCAAGGCTGCTGACTTGGTTACAGGTTGAGTGAAGGTGGAAGGGCTGCTGCTACTGTGAGGTGCCTTCAACTTGTTCAATTTCTTCGTCTTCCGAGCTGTAAGTTAAAATTGTACATTTAGGGCTAAGTTCAGAAATGTTTCACTCAGAAGAGGCATTACAATAAACTAATCTACCTTGAAACCAAACCCGATCAGCATCCTCTGGGACTGAGCATGTGTAGTTCAGAGAGTTTTTCTAAAACAAATCCGTTAAATTATTATTGTGACTGACAGCAGATGGTTGCAGTGTATTTTTAAACTTACAAAAGTTAACATAATATGTAACAGAGAGCGATTATCCCAGTAAAACCAAATTACATCATTGAAGTTACTGCCAAAAGCTTGCTGAAATTGTTTTTGGATTGGACCCTGTACAATCTCTGGCATTTTTTCCCTTAAGCCTAATATGCTTTACAGTCAGACAGCATTTCATATTTCTATGATAAAGAAACATTAATGTACACTTTAATGTTAAACATGTGTAACATTGCTGAGCAACACAGTGAATGCAATTTTTTCAAAAAAATTATGCAGTATTGCTAATCCATCTGATTTCTACAGTCCAGTAGAATGTCTGACATTCCAGTTTATAACAACTACAACAAATTGCATTTATACGACGCCTTTCATGTCAGGAGGATGTCCCAAGACGCTGGACAGTCCAGGGTTTGCATCCTACTGGGGGTTGGATTCAAAAGGGGTGGGGGCAAGGGGTTTGGAAGTGGGAAGACACAGTCAAGGAGGAAGGCCTTGAGACAGACTTTGAAATAGATAAGGAAGAGGCTAAGGCAAGGGGATGGAGTTCCAGAAGGTGGGGGCAGAAAAACTAAAAGCCTGACTGCCGACAGTGACTGAGGGACATGTCTTTCGAATGAAGGGAGCAGTTGGGTTGAGTTGTTAAGGTTTTAGTAAGTTGCAGAGGTACAGTGGGCACCACAGTGGAGGGTTTTAAAAGTGAGGGCGAGGATCCTGAACTTGATGCTATGGGAGATGGGTAGCTGGTGGAGCTGGACGAGGATGTTGCTGATAGGCTCATGGAGTTTGGTGTGGCAGAGGATGTGAGCTCAAAGTACTGAATAATCTGCAGCTTGTGAAGGGAAGAGCTGGGAAGGCTGACGAGTTGGCATAGTCAAGCCTGGACGTGATGAAAGTATGGATAAGGGTCTCAGTGGCCCGAAAGGAGAGGTAGTGGTGGAAGCAGGCAATGTTGTGGAGATGGGAGAAAGTTGAATGACACACTCTCTACACTGCCATTGGGGGAAAAAAAACATAAACATAAAAAAACAAAGCAGTGTTTTAACGGTATCATGAAATCCTGTATTCCCTCATTTAAACTTTTATTAGCTGTTCACCAACATCATTTGGAAGATCTTGATGCATTTCAATCCTCAACCCCCACTGCCCAAATGGAAATTATCAATAGAAGAGCCAACATTGCTGGCATATACGTGCAATCGAATCTCAGTTTACTTCATGACATTATAAACTGATTTATCATCACATCATTGAATTTTTAAAATTAATTTATTGGTCACCTATCCTAGACATTGTATGTCCTGAATGGTATTTGAGTATTTCATAATTCCACATGCTTTCTGCCAGATTTCACATGCTTTCTATACTCTTAAAAGTAACTTGATTTACAGGAAATTCTACTTTACAGGAAATTCTACAGGAAACATTGTTTCTCAAACTATTCCAACAGTGGTGAATAAATCATCTCCATTGCTATTTATGCATCTTGATTTTCACAAATTGTTATAAATAATATGTCTGGATATTAAACTCTTGCTTTACAATAACATAACCATATTATTCCGCAATTTAATACGATGATGAAAACCGGGAACTGTCAATTTAATAATTCATTTGCAACATAGAGTCAAGAGACACTTTGACTAAGCTTATCCTCATTATTACTAAGTACCAGGAATTAATAACCATTTGTGTTAAGATAAACAGAACAGGGTTGACAGTATGCAAAGGGCTATAATTAAATAGAGGGTTCCAAGTAAAGTTCATAAACCAACCAAACACAATTAACAGTTTTTTTTAAATTCTGGTACCCTCAGCTATGTGGCCTATATGGAATATTATTCTATATAGATGGCATTGTAATCTTCAGGATCAGAAATAGAAGCTCTTCCTCACAAGCTCAAGGAAAATTAAACCAGTGCTTGAGGGAAAGCCCACAAACTGTATTGTTGAGTTTTTTCCTTTTCTTGCATCTTCCAAGATGAGATGAAATTTAAAAACTTGCCTACTGAAGGCAATTTATAATTCTTCAATGACTATCAATTAATAAGACGAATTTATCCAAATAACCATAGAAAACCTAATCTGAAGTTTGCACATTCAGTAGATTATGAATTCAGTGCCAAGCTTCAACCTTCGATTCCCCTCATTCATTTGATGCTCAAAAAATTGCTGTTGTGATACAGCAAGAATAAAATGTTTTAGCAGAATCTTCGCTGCAGTCAAAATTAAGCTCCCAAAGTACTAGCTCAGCTCTCGTTTTCTCTGCTTTTCCATTCTCAGTACCTTTGGGCCTGAATTCATCAAACTACAGACTGGCAAAGCTCTAAAGTTCTGCTTCGGAACATATAACCATCAGAGGGAGCTATTTTACAAACATTGCAACGTGGTTTGAAGGGGAGGACAGCCGCAAGTGCCACAGCCTGAACAGCAAAATCAACAGCTTTCCTGTTTCTTCAGTCAAAGCAGCAGAGTAAAAGCATTCTAACCTCCCAACCGGTATCAATGAAGTGAATCAGCACTTTTTCAGAATCTGGGTTTCTGTTTTCTCCTAAATCAATCTGGATGGTTTCAGAGGAAAAAAAAGACGACTGCAATGATTTAATTAAGTATTTGCCTCATTCCCCTCCCTCTCTTCCTTCCCCTCCTATATAAACAGGATGCGATGGCTTTTGCCTTCTCAAGAATATGATTGCAGCTTCATCTCAGAACCTTATGGTGTAGTTGTGAACAGTAGATTTCTGTAAAAGTACTCGTGTCAAACAAATACTTAACATGGAGTCCTGTAGCTCAGTGGTTAGAGCATTTGCTTTGCAAGCGAGACACCTGGGTTCAATTCCAGGCAGAGGGCGAAACCTTGGGCAAGTTTCCTTACTCCACACGACTAATAATAATCCCTCCAAAACAAAACAATAATAAATGGGTCATTTTCAATCCGTGACTGTTTGTGGGACATTGCTGTGCGCAATTGGCTGCTGCGTTTCGCCCACAAATATACAGTCAATTCACTTGACAGCATATTCTGTGAAGCGTTTTGAGACGTCAAGACATGAAAAGCGCTATATCATATGCAAGGATTATTATTATTATAACATGTATCTGGGCTACATCCATGACTAGAAAGAATATTGCAATTTCTGATTTCACAATATTCAAACAGTTGCAAACGTACATTCTGCACTCGGTGCATTCTCATTGTATATACACTCAGGAATAACCTTTAAAAATATTTTGCCTGCGAGATCTATATTGTCTGCTGCACCTCACTGTGGAACATAGAGATCGTGCAAACTGAAATCATGTTCCTTCCTTCAATAACATTAGTCGTTAAATGCGCTCTTGTTCAATCTCATTTTAGAAATGGCAATGGAGGATACAAAACAGACAGAAATCCCCATGCAGGAGAGCATTGATGTGCACCTGCTTAGGAACCATGCTAAGTAGGTCCCAACCAATTTAGATAGTTAGGTGTCAGCCTGTCTCTACATGTCGCCTCAAAGTCAGAAGGTAGTGGATTCTGTCTACGTTGACACTCCAATGCAGCTGCGGGCTTGCTGTATTATCAAAGGGGCTGCCCTTCAGATAAGACGTTACACTGTCCTGGTTGATGTTAAAGATCCCATGAAAGAGAAACATTTAGTCTGGAACATGAATTCGTTGAGGGCATAAATCTTCGCATAAAATCTGGCCCGTTTGTTTCTATAGTCTTGCACACTCATCTCAATTTATCTGACAGATGAGACCAGACAGATGGAAACAAAGCTAGATACTAGAAACTGAAATTATTATAGTGTTAAACCTGTTGAGATTTAAATTAGTGTGTAAAATGAAATTCAGAATATTACATTTAAATAATAAAGGGATAATAAATGCCTGGAATTCACTGAACATCGGCAGATTTAGTCACCTTGGCAGCCAATTGCACACAGCACGGATTGTGTGACCAAATTATTATTTTTTTTCTTGAGGGATTATTATCCCTCAAAAAAATAGTGTTTTGACAGGTTTACTTTAGTTTTTACCATTTTTCAATTTCTATTTCCCTGGAGGATATCCTTCAATTTACAGTTGCCACATAAGCACTTCAAATAGGCTACGTTTGAAAATAGTTTCAGTAATTTTTATGGAAAGGTGCCAATGAAAATATAATTTTATACTTCATTGGCAGCTCATTACCTGCGGCACAATGACTGCTGTTACTGCTACATTCACTTGGCAGCCAAAAAGCCGTGTTGACCAGCAGACTATTATCAACTAAAGCAATACATCAATGCATTATGCATAAGCCATCATTTGGGTAATTGAGTGGGTAACTGGGGAAAAAAATACGACAAAATAAACTGTATCACATGCAGTGTGAAAGGCCTGCATATCAACCAAAGGTGCTTTAACTTTAGAACACTGGAGAACTAATCTTCGTCTTTCACTTTCTTTTTTCAATAAAATTGTGGGCTCATGACCCATGCACACAATCTGCTAAGTAATGCCACAAAATCACCCCTGAGAGGAGGACTCAATTTGCCATGTGGGAAATTGGGGTGTGGAACTCCACCCTATCTTTCAAGATTTCTGTTCCTCTCCTGTGAATGATTTGATGATGATTCATCTAAATACCCATGTCCTGCAGGCAGTGCTCACGAGAACCGAGTATTCCTTTAGACTGAGAAATACACAATAACATTTGTGAGTATTTTAGATCATCTTTAGTTCATGCCATTCATGGGAAATAGATAATTTTTTCATTCTATATCCGGGTACATTCAACAGCAATTCAAGAGCTCCCCAACTGTTTTGTGAGTTAAGGCAACACTATCAAACTTTTTTTTGCTTCTTTTTTCACCCAAAAAGCTCCAAGATATGAATCAAACATTGTAATTTACTTGAAACTGTAATTCAAAACTAACAAGTTGATTGCATGATCTTAAGAGGGCTGAAATACGTATTGTTTCAAAGAACCTTTGATCATCCATTTCTATAATGATTGTTATGAACTCTATGGTCTGCTTCCTGATGCATGTGAAGGAATCATGTTTGCAAGCAGCTTGATAGATTCCACTTGAACGAGCACCTGAACGAGAGCCAAGCAAGACTATGGCACTCACTGCTGAGAAATGAAACTACTGCATGAACTGCAAGGAAAGATTATATTTTGAGGGAAACAGGTTTCCTGCTCCACATTACTTTCCAATCACTTATGCTTCATCAGTCATACCATTCCATGCTTAACAGCCTGTGATACTGAATGCAAGCTGAAAGATGTACTAAACTCCAATGTTTTCTGGCAGGCCAGCTTGTCCTTCATACTGAAACTCCTTGGAGCTGAACCGGTAGTCTCACAACCATGGCACCTTGTTTGACCCTCAATTGTCCTTTCTACATCACATCTGTGCCATGACCCTTTCCGCAACATCATCCACCTCTGCCACTGCCTCTCCACTTATGGCACCAAGCCCTCATCCATTCATTACATCTAGGCCCGACTATGCCAACTCCCTGCTTGTCTGCCTTCCCTCCTCAAGCTGCAGATCGTTCAGAACTCTGCAGCTCATGACCTTTCCCATACCAGGCTCCATGACCCTAACACCCCCCACTCTCGCTGGGCTCCAATGGCTCCCCATCCCCCATATACAATAGAGTTCAAAATCCTTGTCCTTGCTTTCAAAGCAGCAGGAAAGCTTGCCAGACAGTGCTATCAATGTCAATCTACCCAGTTTTAGCTAGGTTAGACTCAAACAGTATCCACTCTCTGTGGTCTCCAAGCCTTGGTTCTTGCACCTAATACTTTCCGGAATTAGGTAAGCAGGATGTGTCCCTCCAAGGAGGGACAAATTCCATTCTAACAATCTATCTCTGGAATCTCCATGTGTACGTGGGATGTATGGAATTCTCAGTTTGGCTTGGATATTCTTAAGCATGGTGATGGATCAAACACCCGGCTGACCAAAAGAAAAACATCAAAAGGAAAATAAACGTATGCAACACTTAAGAGAACAGTCACTTTGGTGACATCATTTGATTGGATTGTTGCATTGCCAATAATACTATAATAATAATCCCTGGATTTTTATCATGTCATCGAGATGTCTCAAAGTGCTTTACAAGATATACTGTAAAATGGATTCACTGTGTACTTTTACCATGAATTCCTATGCTTCTCGATCATCCACTTTATACAGCAATGAAGCAATCTTTTTTTATATTGAGCAGCAAATTCAGCAACTTGGTGTCCAAACACAGAAACTGAGTGATGCAAGATTATATTGCACACATAGTCCTCAACCCATGTCACTCTAAATTGATTCCAGCATAAATGAATTTAACTTGTACATAACTCTCCACAGCTGCTGTATCACAACAAACTGCACTCAGACTCTAATATATCAAGTGAAAATATGGACAGGGCAGTCCTGCTTTAATCCATACTGAATGTACAAATCACTATCTTTGATCAGTCATTGTTTTAATGTACGCTGTTAAATGCAGATTATTCACTCATTAGGTAAAAAGGATTACATTTACCATCAAGATTCATGCCAGCCTGGAGGCACTTTCGAAAACGGCAAGCTGGGCAATTTTTTCGGCGAATCTTGTCGATTATGCAGTCATTTCTTCCTGCACATAGGTAGTTATGCTGTCCTAGAAGGAAAATGACAAAATAAAGATGATTCATGGTGCAACGACATTGTAAACACAACCAGCACAGGAGCTTTATGGATGTGGCTAGAAAATTAACAAATACTAGCAGGAACCATAATACATGCTATGGGCCAGGAAACTGAACGGGTAAAGTATAGCACTGGATGCAATACATTAAAACGGTCAATGTATTTATTTATCAGATCATACTTCACTAGGCCAACTCCGAATCTCATATTCTACCCAACAAAAAGTTGTGGAAATGAGTTGGCCGCATTCGTTTTGGTAATGAAATCCACAATCATTGAAGGATCACTTCTATTCACTAAAGAATCTTGCAGCACACTTTGCCAAGCTAATAAACACAAACCAAAGGGATTGATACTACAACATTATTACTACCATACTTTACTGGCTGCACCCACAATGAATGGGAGCATTCAGGTGTTGGCTTTTCAAGACAGTTCCAGGGAATAAACCGAAAAAAAATTAGCTAGAAAAATTAACAATGCACCTCTTTATGTCATTAAGAGAACATATCCATGCCTCGATGAGAATATTTCTGAGTTTGAAAAAAAATGGTTCTCAGGGGCTGCAAGTCATAACTAGGCCACCTGGTTTCTGATTTCAGTTAGTTAAAAAAAAGTACATAACAATTTTCTCCAAATTGAGAAAATTCCTATTGTTAAATACTTTAAAAAATATGTATACTTTGGTGTCCCCTGGGCCTTGGCTCTTGCCAACCTATGCCAAATACTCTCCGGAATGAAGTAATTAGGGTTAAACCACATTCGATTCCAGATACAGGAACATTTCCAATGTGTAGGTGGCATACAAATGTGGAACTCTCAGTCCGGATTGGATGCTCCTTAAGCATAGTGATGGGTTTTTGCATATGTCAGACCCCTAGGCTGACAAAAAACTGGTCATACCATAATCCTTTTGAATTTGGGATTGGAGATCGAATCCAGCTCAAACTGATGGTATAAAGATCTCCTCTCTCCTCTAATGACCTACTACAAATGTGCTTTGGGCAATTTAAATTAAATTTCTAGTGGGCAAGTTCCCAGCACAGTGCGGCCTAAAGTTTGGCACTGAATTATCAGCATGACTCAGAGAGAACCACAAGAATGGATAATGTGGGAATTGGAATGTACCACAACAACAACATCTTGCATTTATATACATTAGAGCACAAAATATTCACAAAATAAAAATGATAATAACATTTCGTACCTAAATAAATGTAAATGATTTAATTTGCGTAAGTTTCTTGAATTAAAATCTATTTCCAGTGTTCTTTTTCTCTGAGACAATTTATTTGTTTCTACATATCAGTCTGTTCGGGGTACATTACTTACTGCAACATATTTATGAGGCACCACCATAAACTTCGGGAGAGAGAGAGAAAAAAATAGTCTCTGAAACACATTACTTCAGAGCCAGACAATCAGTGTGCTATAACAAGTGAAAGAATCTGCCAGACACTGAATCCTTTTCACATTTCACTGGACTGGTTCCACTGCAAGTTGGCTCAATGCCACTATTTCAACCTCTTAGTCCTGACTCTCGCTCCCACTCTAACAAGACTTCAATCTGAGATAATGAATGGTACACTTGCTTCAGTGTGTGGGGTAACATAGAACGTCATAGATGAAAATGTCCAAATAAACCCAATCTGTCAGTGGAAATGTACCTTGTACTGGCTTCTGTAGAATACTGACTTTTCTTAAAAAAAAGATCAGAAACGTGATGCCTGATTTCTTTATACAAAGGTAATGTATAGGCATCAGTCTTAGATTTGTCATCAGATAAAATTTCAATGGCAACAGCAAGTGCTTTTGTGGATGTCCAGAAAATGTAGAATAATTTATTTTCAATTGAATAATAATGTTGCGTAGTTTTAGTTCTGATCTTAGGGATATGTTATCAAAATAACAGTTCCCTCCACAGTCCCCTAAATCTGACAAATTCAGAAAAGTGGATGCACTACAAAGACCCAGGAACAGGGTTTGTTCCAAAATACTAGTGTTACCAGTTTAAACAACAATTGAGAGCTATTTTTGCCCCCAGAACCCTGCCACATATTTCCTCTACAGAAACTGCATTCTCTGTTTTTTATAGCTGTGGCAATCTCGAGGATGAAACATTAATGTGGTTTTGAAGAGGTGTTTAAAATGTTGCTTGTGCATGACTTCTGGTATAAATGAAAAGATAGACATTATTTCTAGTCGAATGATTTATCCATTTCTCCTAAATATCCATCAACGAGGATCATATTTAGAGTAGATCACTCTATTCTATTGAATTCACTTTATCTAAACTTTTCCAAATATTTCATTAATTGATTTAAAAAAACTAACTAGCCACTAATCAGTTGTGTTCTTTTTCTACTGTTGTCATAATTTGCTATAATTGATGTTGGTATAGCAACATGTAACTCACTTTATCACTGACAATATGAATTCCATCTGCTTGCTCAGAGTCTATGCCAAGCACTTAACAAAGAGGTCTGACTGAACAATTCGTTTACATGGCTGGATTTTCCCAACAGAGACATGTTCTAAGGGTTGATTTCCCATTACAGATTTAATATACATGTTAATTAATTATCCACCAACAAAATACCATTGCCTCCATGAAAGCAATTAGATTGGATAACTTGTTATTAAGAGTAAATGGACCTCCTTAGGGACAAAAAAAAATCCAGACAGACAAGCTCTTATTGCAGCTAGCGAGTACTATTATACATTACTGATGATTATGCACTTTTAACTTTTTATCTTCCTGGTTTCCATTGGCCTTCAGCAAAACCAAATAATGAAAAAAAGGACTGCTACTTCCAATGATACAATTTCAAAACTGACTCCACAGAAGCATTAGGAATTGACAGGAATCCTATGATGAGTTGCTGAACTGAGGAAATATTGAAATAAAGGAATGAATGTCTATTTGGGTTCTGAAACTGGACCTGAAACCGACTGCATGCTTTCCAAAAAATAATCAAGGTAATTTGGACATTTTCTTGTTGAATGGAATGGAACGAATGCGCTTAAAAATTACAAGCAAAAAAAAACTGGTCAGTGTAACCTGAGAAAAGGCATTTCCTGATCAAAGTAAACAATTTGCGCTGATTTGTGATGCATTCCTTGGCACACACTAGATAAGAGAAAAATGGTGTTCCTATTTTCACTCCATATAATTGAAAAAAACAATGTAAAAACTTATGATTCCTTTAATTTACTGTTATTTACATGAAAATACACTATGATACTGGATTGTTTTCTTTGCTATAAATTCAAAAGTTCTCAAAAGCTTGTTCTACTTACTGTACTGTCAATATATTAGAAACGTTCTTTGGAAATATCTTACCATCAAAGCATACAAAGGTATTTCTATGAAAACCCTCCCTTGTTACCATTAAGTAGGAAAAATGAAGACAGATTTTTCACTTTAGTAGCAGCAGAGGCTGGACTAAGAGATTAGATGCAGAAACCCTGACTTTATAAGGAACCAGACGGTGGGGTTTTCTCTCCTCATGATTGATTAATATTACTCTGATATCCAAACACAATATGTTTGGCCTGAAGTCAAACTGGTTTGGCAGTAGAAAAGCAGCAGGAAAAACTGTCAGTCATATTGAATAACATAGAGGAGAGATCTTGTAATATTGCAAAATTTAATATTTGGCAATTGTATGGGTCACTAGTGCAAATCTTTTTACTTTTGTGGTTCACAATCCTGTAAATTTCTATGGTTTCAACATACTGTAAATTCTGTGACCAGGAATCTTAGTTTCATCATCCCCCCAAGGCCCTGGACAGAGTACAGCATTTCAGACCCGAGCTGGGGTTGGGGGGGTAAGGGAAGGGAGGGGAAGGGGAGGGGAAGGGGGGTGGCCAATGGCATGGTCAAGAGGAGGGTCTTGAGGCGGGACTTGAAGGAGGCTAAGGAGGGAGCAAGGCAGAGTGACTGAGGGATGGAATTTCAGAGGTTGGGGGCAGAGTGGCTGAAGGCTCTCCCGCCAATGGTGGGGCGGGTGGGTCGGGGGACGTGGAGCAGCCAGAGCCGGCTGAGCGGAGGGAAAGGGCAGGTTGGTATGGGGTTAGGAGGTCGCAGAGGTAGGGTGGGGCGAGGCCATGGAGGGCTTTGTATGTGAGGACCAGGATCTTGAACTGGATCCTCTGAAGAATGGGGAGCCAGTGGAGTCAGGTGAGAGTGGGGGAGATGGGGTCACGGAGTTTGGTGTGGGAGAGGACACGGGCTGCAGAGTTCTGGATTATCTGCAGTCTGTGGAGGGAGGAGTTGGGAAGGCCGACAAGCAGGGCGTTTGCACAGTCGAGCCTGGAGGGGGTTTAGTAATAAAATAAAAGACTGAATTTGTTTTAGAAACAGTTAATGCAAGTTTTCTGCCAATGTTTAATTGTTGGCGATACTCTATTTCTTACCTTCTACTGCTCTCTTGAAGAAAACTTTACAACTGCCACAGGTTAGGACACCATAATGACATCCAGATGCCTCATCTGAGCAAACCAGACAGACCTTGGCAGGTGGCCCCGAGGAGGAGGAAGAGGAAGGTGTGCTTTCATCAAATTTTAGGACAGAGCTGGAAGTAGAAGAGTGCAGAAAAAAACTTGATGAATTACACTGAATAAATCAAACAAGAATTTAAGTATAAATCAGTCTTGGTTAGAAATGCACAATCTGGGCTGACATCCTCTACATTTTCTCTGACATCAACACTATTCAACCCTTTGATGGATTACTTCACATTTTTTATTCAACACAAAAGTAAGCTCTTGTTTACTGAACTATTGTCAGGATGTTACTGGTAGCAATGCGTATCCACTTAAAAAAAATTGTTTTCCTTCGAAAATTAAGTTTGCAGGTTACAATAACTTTTTGGGGGGAGACCACAATATTTCTATTTCTAATTTGTGTTAGTGACTGTTTGCCTCTGTTAACTAGTTCATCTAGCCTGAAATCTTGTTTAAGATGGCAGATCATGAGCAGTAAATCACATCAACTGATCTTAAAGCCACACAACTTTTTTTTATTTTCCCCCGTGGCATGTTGCCAAACAAATATTTTATTTTTTCTCCAGTTCAAATTTATTTTCTATTTCCCAATTGTTGACTTTTAATGAAAGTTACAATTTAATGTGATAATAATCCTTCCTTGGATTTGATATAGCGCTTTGCATGTCTCGTAGACATCTCAAAGCTCTTCAAAGAATTTACTGTAAAGTGAATTGACTGTAGATTTGGGGGCGAAACGCGGCAGCCAATTGCACACAGCAGTGTTCGTCAAACAGTCGTGGATTGAAGCGACCAATTTATTATTGTTTTATTTCCTTGAGGGATTATTATCAGGCGTGTGGATTAAGGAAACTTGCCCAAGGTTTCACCCTGCTGGGAATCGAACCCTGGCCTCTCGCTTGCGAGGCAAGTGCTCTAACCACTGAGCTACAGTACTCCACGATGATTACTTTGCAGTTGCATTTATTACAGATGAGGATTTAAGACAAACCAACACTAGGCATAAACTGCCATCTGTCACAAATCGAGGTGAGTGATGTCAACTCATAGCTTTTGGTCCACGTGGTCTATGGTAATCAGAATTTTATGACACCGACAGTTCCAGCAACGACACAGCCCACATCTTGACGAGCAGTTTTGGTACAATATTACAATAGATTTGGCATCCATTACCATAAACCCAACTTGCTTTAGAACTTAAAGCCTCATTAGTATTCCATGAACCCTCTCCAAATACATCTTTACCCTTTTGAAGGTAATGTAATGTACACAGAACGTTCCAAATGCGTGCTCACCAATGATCTCTAAAATTACTTCTTTGCATTCAATCGAATACTTGTAACTGTGCAACATGGTATTTGGTGAATTTTGTGAAAACTGATAAAAATCTCATTGAATGATCAGCAACTCCACCCAAATCCTTCCTGTACTATCATTTCTGGATCAGTGGTTGTGTGTTTAACCTCATTTGTCGGCTAAAAATTTGGTCCCTCAGTCAATGATTGTTTGCATTATTGGCTGCCACATTTCACCCACAAAATACACAGTCAAACCACTTTACAATATATTCTGCAAAGTGCTTTGAGAAGTCTCAACAATGTGATAAGGCGCTATATCAAATGCAAGGATTATTCAGGACTTCACCTCCTCGTCGAACCAATTCATTATATGCACTACTTTTCGCTTCAGTCACAAGTTTTTGAAGATAAAGGATACACTAGTCCATTTTAGTTATTCCTTCCAAAATACTTCTTCTCCCTCACAATCTGTTGTTTATACTAAAGCCATTAATTGTCCCAGAAGAGAAACGGTGATGATCTACTCCCAGGGATTCACCAACTCTGAAATAAGTTGGTGAGCTGTAAGTAGATGTAGCCAAGAGATGGCAGAGCTGTGAACTCTCTCCTCTCTGTCTCGCCTTGTGGAGGAGTATTTGAGTTGTGAATTATGTCTCCAATCAGGATGTGGTCCTCAAACCTCAGCAAAAAACAAATAAAACATATAGCATACCATACCACAATGCAAGGTACTGAGTCTACTTTTTGCACTCTGGGTCACTGAAAGTAGTTCTAGGTTCAATTTCAAACATAACCTTCAGAGTAAAATAAAAATGCACTTGGGGCTAAAAGTGAATAAATAAAATACAGTAAGTCCAAACTAATTGGTAATTCTTGAACATTATGCAAGATATTAGCATTTTATAGTTATTAAGTTGCTTACTTGGGATTGAAATGTTCCTCAATGAATCATTTACTTAAGGCCTGAAGTATCAGTCAGTATGATAGAATATCTGCAGTTATACTGAGCACATAAAGGAGTCTTCACAAGTACGAAAATATAATTTTTCCTAAGTCAGTGATTTTCTTTTGAAAAAAAGATGGGGTGAAAGTTGTAAGAAAATACTGGATATCTGAAATACAAGTGTAGCCAAGTAACCTTGAAAGCCTTGAAAATCCGCTCCCAACAGTATGAAAACCATCATGCCAGGTAATAGAAAGAAGGCTAATGTGTACAGAAGCTGCTGCTTTTAATCTTGAAAGCATCAATAAAGAAAATCGAAATCTAGTTACAAAATAAACTGTTGGTGTGAAATGGCGGCTGGCTTCATTTGGGAAACACAGACTTGCAGCAGGGACGGGACTTCACTCTTGGAATCTCTCCAGGTTTTAAATGGTTTCAAGGGCACAGACATGGTAATTAGGACCTCAACACAAAATATCCTGCTCTGCGACTCCGGAATCTCAGCTTCCAATAAACTGTGCACATGCTGAGTGACTGACTAGCCACCATCTAAGACATGGTCTCAATTAAGTATCCTTGATCTTAAATTTACTTTTGCCGAAAAATAGAATGTATTGCCAGAAACTACTACTACACCACTACTAATGAAGTTAGTGCTACAGAAGTGCAACGCTCAGTTAGAAAAGATCAGCATTTCTGAAATAAGTGAAACACAGAATTGTTTATTATTATATTGCGGAAATTCTTCAAAACTCTCAGTTATCTACTTCGCTGCTCACGATTTATTGCTCCCCCCTCCACTCGTGTCACCTTTTCATGAAATGTTGTATGTACTGCGAATGCAAATACAAAGCAGTTTACCATCCATTGCTGAACAGGGAGTTCTTTGAAACACAGATATCAGCAGACTATTCCCCCCACCCCCGCCCCACCCCCACATTTGGGTGCAATCACTAATTATTTGGTGGTATAAGATTAAGGAAATTAGCCACAGATTTCAGTAAAATGTCAGTATTTTGTAGTTTCCACATACAAGTTCTCCAGACTGCTTTTCTCACGATCCCTCCTTTAAAACCCAACGATAGGCTTCTTGAGCTGAGCGCGTCCTGCTCCATTGAGGCCGTTACTCTGTTCTAAATGGTTTAGAACACAGGACCTTTTGTGTTCCTAAGAGCATTTGCTGGGTAACAATTAAGCCAATTTTACTGGGAGCTACACTGCTTCCCGCTGTATACTGTATTGTATGCATTAAAGTGTGACCTGCACATAATTCACTCGTTATGTGAGACTTTAGCGCATTTGCTCTCTTTCTCGGAGAAGTTTCTCAAAAAAGTGTTCTTGCGTTAGTTAAAATGAAGAGTATATTGGAAAGCAAATAAAAACTTTGGCCTTTTCAAAAAATATTGAGGAGCAAACCCTGTGCCAAGGTATTTGGAGCCATTTTCTGCTGCATTCCATTTGTCACAATTACCTTTACAATGAATTTCTGAAATCTAGAGGAAATCTCTTCAGTAGCAGAGAAAAAAAGATTAAACAAATTTGAAAAACTACTTTCGACCAAGAGTCAGCAATTATAAAGAAGCAAACACACTATTGAGCTTTTATTTTTCCCAACGGCTGATATTTCACTAATATGACTCAATGAAATCATTACAAATCTTCGCAGAATCTCTCTGTTCAGGTCCAGCTACTTCCATTAAAAATCAGATTTAGAATAATAATAATCGTTGCATTTGATATAGCGTCTTATCACGTCTGAGGGGTCTCAAAACGCTTCGCAGGATATGCTGCAAAGTGGTCTGACTGTGTATTTTGTAGGCGAAACGTAACCTGGAAAAAACATATATCTATCTGGAAAATGGTTGTCATTTTGACAATGAAAATTCATAATCCACCTGTGCAAAACAGTGACATCTATGGTTCCACCCACAACGATTCTCAAACCCAGCTGCAAACCAAAATGCCCTGAATTTTTAATAATTTGGGATGAATGCTCCTCTAAAATATTTGAAGTGACTAGCACATATGCACACCAAAACAAATTGTTCCACTAATGGCACATATTATCCTCCTCCATAACTCAATACAATGGTGAGTGGGGAAGGACAACATGTGGTCTCTCAAAATTGCTGCACTATATAATGATCACTAACCCTAATCTTTGGAGCTCCTAAACATAAATGATATTGGGTCTGAATTCATGAATAATAATAATAATAATCCTTGCATTTGATATAGCGCTTTTCACGTCGGGAGGACGTCCCAAAGCGCTTCACAGAACACACTGTAAAGTGAATTGACTGTATATTTGTGGGCGAACGCGGCAGCCAATTGCGCACAGCAATGTCCCACAAACAGTCGTAGATTGAAAATGACCAATTTATTATTGTTTTTGGTTTGGGAGGGATTATTATTAGGCTCTGTGTGGAGTAAGGAAACTTGCCCAAGGTTTCGCCCTCTGCCTGGAATTGAACTCAGGTCTCTCACTTGCAAAGCGAGTGCTCTAACCACTGAGCTACAGGACTCCACGGAATACTAGAATCTTTGATGCTTTAAGATGGAATTGAAGACAAAGCCTAAAGAAATCTAACTGCCTCCTTTATACCCCTTTCTGGTGCTGCTGCTGCTGCTAATGTTCCAACCAGCAGCATTTACTGAATTTGCTGCATTAAACCAACATTCACAATACAGATTAATTGTTTTGTACCTGAACTGCATCCTACAGCAATGAAACCAATCACTGGTCAAGGACAAGCACAGGTATACCTATTACAGTACAAGAAAAATGTACAGCTGCACCTGATACAATTTTTCACTTTGAATGTCATTAGCAAATAAGCTCTGGAGCCGAGTCACAAAAACTAAAAGCAACAAAACCAGTTATTCAGCATCAATTATGTAGCACTGCTTTGAAACTAACAGAGCTAGTCATATTAGGATACTTCTTAAGGATATTGGAGTTCAATTTGAAAGAAATTCTAGCTTTGTGTAGAGCATTGTTGAGACCACATTTAGAATTTTGTGCCCAAAGTTTGATACCCACAAGACAACAAGAATCTAATAGAAAGGATTCAGGAAAAAGCAGAGTCATGAACTAATGTTCAAAAACATAAGGATCATGTTTTCATTGTAGCCACGATTGAAAGGACCATGATCTAAGTCAGGGTGATTCCATCTGGCTCGCAAGCGCAGTCGCACTTGGACTGAAGCAGCGGAAAAACAGCGGCGCTAGGCAACAGTTAGCAGCAAAATCTCAATTGCTTTCAAACCGGTAACAGGAGAAAGACAGAGCGAGAGAGATACGGAGATAAAGACACACACAGAGACAAATACAGAGAAATACAAAGACAATATTTTGCCCACAAAATATAGTCAATTCACTTGACAGTATATTCTGTGAAGTGCTTTGGGACGTCTGGAAGATGTGAAAAGCGCTATATCAAATGCAAGTATTATTATAAGAGAGAGGGAGAGAGATACAGTGACACACACAGACAGAGAGCAAGAGAGAGACACACACACACACACAAAGCACACATGCTCATCGGCAGAACTTGGAAGGGCAGATCAGTCACTGGGAGCAGGGAATCATCCCACTTAGCTCCTGTTAATCCTACAAACCAAAGCCCTAATTGGTCGGTCGGGTGTTCTAGCTGGACAAGCAGCGGGAAAGCTTGCCAGACAACAATATCAGCAATGTATTCCATTAAATTATGTAAAACAAGACTTTATTCCATTTTCAAAAGCAAGGAAAGAGTAACCCTAAGTGAGTTTACGATATAATTAAACAAACCTGATATCATAATCTAAATGTAGAGGCAGTTATTTTCTGAGCAGCTACGAAATGATGTAGTTTATGGCATCTCGGCACCTCTGCTTCAACTGTTCCTGGCAATTCCATCCCAGTTAAAACAGATGGTGAAGGTTTAACTAACGCTCACAACTAAAATAAAAATTAACGACACTGAGACAAATATACAAATAAGTGAACCTATCTAACTGCAAAAAAAACATAGATGGAAAAGATAGCTAAGAGATATTTAGTAGGTCAACTGAGATCTAAATAAATGATTAATGGAGTATAAAGACAAATACTGATTAATTAACAGATT